CTGCTCCTGTACGCATGCTTTTTTATTGACTTTATTGTACAAATGTTTTTATTCATTACTGGTATTTGTGTGAGTGAAATGTCCTCAGTGTTGCTGGTTGTTGGAATGACTGCAGGGCACAGATTGTAGTGGCTCTACATTGAAATTGAATTTTCGTTGATAACTCTCCATTGCTTATTTGGCGATAAGACCCCACACATCCTGATGGGCCTTGTTCACTAACACAAAACTCTACTTCAAGCTGAAACAAAGGAAGGTAACCCATGCACTGAGTGTATTTCAACAAACTGGAAGTAGGCATGAATATATCGAGACCACACTGCATTGCAAAATACTAACTTTGAGCATTAGTAGCTGTAAAAAGACCAATATGCTGAGGGGTGCAGAGGTTACAGATGTATCAGTCTGCCAGGGGTTGAGTAAACTTTTGGATTGACTAGAACAGGGCTGATCAGGCAGTGATGTTCACAGCCTCAGCACCATCAGCAGATACACGGTGTTGGAGCCTAAATGCAGTTTATAATAGTTAACAAATGTAACTACAGTTATAAAGTAGGTGATTCATTGAGATTCATTTAAAATGATAAAGGTATAGGTGTGATATTTAGTTTATTTTTGTAATAAAAGTGATTCAAATGTAAGATTTATTTGAGATTTTGCGTTATTTGATTTTCCAGTAGCAGTGTAAAATTAGGTGTTTGGTGATTATTGGGTGGGTGTGGTTTATTGGCAGACAGTCAGTCAGTAGAGTGGAGCAAACTCGTCTCTCGTTACTTTTCTTTAATTTTGTACAAGTTTTGATTTTTGCAACAGAAGTAAAGTGTTCGGCTTCACCAAGGACTCTGGAATTTTTTTATCCATTTTGTTAAAGATGAGGAGACACCTCAGAGCATCAAGCTAGTGGCTTCAATCAATGGAAACCTACACACCGGTTACCTATGGTCAGTACACATAGTGTGTAATTGTTCATTTGAGAAAACAAGTTGTATTAAACCCAAACAAGATGAACGATTGTCCCTTGTCTGACTAGCCATCAGTTTAGCCTGGATGAAGACTTTTGCCTCCTTCTCTGTGCTCCATGACTGATGTCCGATAATGTGACAAAACATTAAAATGTCCTTAATATTCCTTTAAATGCGAATTAAGTTATTAATCTTCTGAGGGCCTGTTTTTGGTGGTTTTCTTTGTGTATTTTACTTGTACAGGTACTTTGAGGTAACACATAAATAAAACATGCATTTACTTTTCACTGGAAAACCATTTACCAGTCTGTAATCGTGCGAGAACATTGAGGGCAGCTGAAACGGATGAACGGCATTAAAACATACTTTTAATCTAGATGGTGTAGAGAATAGTCATCCTCAAAAAACACATGTGACGTGTTTTTGTACTATGAGTGCTTAGTGTATTCTTAGTTTAGCATACTTCTTAGTTCATATCTTGGATCTTATTATTTTTCTTAATTTATACTTTTGTTGGATGTAACTGGGACCCTGTGTACACAATTTCGTTCCACCACATGTACCACGAGATGGAACGACAAATAAACTTAGACTAAACCAAATTTCAGCTCAACACGGCAAAAATAAATAAATAAACAAGTCAATGAGTTACTGTCATTTTTTTATTTTAAGCTATCGTGGCCATGTTGGATTTTTTATTTGAATTCAGAGTGTTGTGCATCGCTGTCCGGTACCAACACACCAAATTTGAGCTCAATATAATTTAAAATAGCTGAGTTATCATATTTTTTCCCCTCCTTTTAGCTAAGGTGGCCATTTTGGATTTTTAATTAGCATTAGTGATGTATAACAACTCACTCTCTGCTACGACCATACCAACATTCAGCTCCATATCTCAAAGAATTGTAGTCAATTTTGTGTTTTCTGTGGCAGCCATCTTGAACCAAAATGGCTCCAGAAGTTAAGAGTTTTGTTCAGGGGTCTCTCCACTCTAGGTCATGTGACCTCACTGTGGCAGTTAGAGGCTGTGAAGAGTTCTGTCATGGGGTTTTTCAGAGATAAACGGCGTCTTTGTGTACAAATTGCGTCACCATGGAAACTCAAAATGCCAATTAAAGTAATACACATCACAGTGCTGAGCCGGTCGGTTGGTTATAACATTTGTGGGGGTACACATTGCAGTTTAAGCCGCATTAAAGTTGAAAGAAGAGCAAGACACTTTTCAGGTGGATAATAATAGGGGCTGACTCCTTTTACCAGTCAGTGGGTGTAATGTTACAGCTCATCAGAGTATATAATCCTATATACCATTATATATATATATATATATATATATATATATATATATATATATAATAGTATGTAATTAGTGAAATGTAAAAAGTGGTTTACTCCCATTTTCCAATTAAATAAAAAAGCTCTGGAAAGGATTTTTCATACAGTAACATTGTTCAGTGCTGCTTTCTGTTGCCTCCCAGTGGACACGAACAGAGAAGACAAGCCTTGAGATTTATAAGTTCAATATTCTGACAACCTCTTTTTAAGAAAGTCAAATTTTATTTGTGTTATGACAGTTCTGTACTTCACTGGTTAAATACAATGACACAGTCACGCTGAAGCTCTGGATCACCTTCCAGAGAAGTATTACACAACCGCTTAGTTTATTCGTTTAGGTGAGGGTTAGGATTTTTATTTTTAAACAAAACAAAACCCAGAAAGCAAGAATGGATATAACTGGACTGTAAAGAAACTGGTAACTTAATGGCCAGCTGCACGACAAACTCTTGTTGTTTCACTGAATGGCACTTTTCTCCCCCATTTCCAGGTGACATGACTAAAAAAATAAAAATCTTTTCCCACACCAATCTAGAAGGGTTTAGTTTAGAGTGGGGGGGTCTTCACACCCACAATTCCTCACTTCTTTCCCACAGGAAAGACCTGGAACTGATACAACCAGACAGTAAAGAGGCTAAATTAATACAGAAACAAGATCAACAAATGCAGACAGAGCGGTAGGGTGCAGTGCAGATTGGCATGACGTCCAAGTAACGTCTCCTGCATCAGGAGAAATCGGCTGTATGGAAAACGCTCAACTGGTAGATTAAAAAATTTGAACTTAAATAAAAACATACGACACGTATTTACATTCAAACATACAGCGTATACACGGACGTCCACGCGAAGCAGCACACGATCACAGTTGTTGCCTCATCCCAACAATCATCAGTGTCCAGTCACACATATGGGTCATTGTTGGGGGAAAACTAAATCAAAACTGCAATGTAATTCTGACTACATTGAAATGTTCCCCAGTTGCAGCTCTTGGAGCTCGTTATTTGAGACTACCGGCAGTCGAACGTGTGGTTTGTTCGTTCCAAACTCACGAGGAAACCAAAAAGTTGCACCAAATCGTCCGTGTTGCTCAGCAGAACTGTTTATTTACAAAACCAGACGCACAAACTCTGAACGTCAATAAAACATTTCATGTGTGTCTGATGCTTCCTATGAGACTTGAGCGTAGTGTGAGAGGAGCTTTACCGTGTCACCGCAGAACAGGCAACTAAAGGGAGAGTTCAGATCTTTTGAAGAGTGGTTTTAAACAATATCTTACCTGTTGTAGATCGCTCTTTGAACGACCCTGGTTTGATGAGCTACAGCAGGTTGACGCGAGGTAAAGACCGCAGAGAACTGTTGCCGTCCTAGAACAGCTCCAAACAGGAAGTGTCCTAGGCTGCGCTGGAAGTGCTACAGCTGGCTGCTGCTGCTATTTGCATATACAAATAACCATAGAAATGTACAGAAATAACCGTGTTTCAAGTGAAACAAGACTTACGCAAAACTTTTAAAAAATAAAATTTTTTGATTCTTTGGTCTTGGCTCCATTCAGCCGTGATCTCATCAGTCCGGTCAGAATTAAAACGGAGGTCGTTCAAAGAGCCACCTACAAACTTGTACGATATCGTTCATCACGTTTCCACTTTAAAACACCTGAGCGATCGCTTTAACTCGTAGATGAGCGTTCCAACTGAAAACATTTTGGTTTGTGCGTTAAAACGGAACAAACACCTTAAAGGCCCCGACGTTAGGCTCATCGTGTAGTGCTGACTAAACACGCCTGCTTCACCTTTTACATCCAAACTAGAACCGTTGGGATTGACGACCTTAGAAGTGATTTAAAACAACAACAAAAAAAGTGCTCACAAAAAGAACTGGTCGCGGTTTCTCGACAAGCCGAGCTTCAAACTACGCACCTCGTGGACGCGCGCGTCGGTGACGTCTCGTTGACTTTTGAGGTAAATCAGATTTTAGTCAAGCCCCGCCTCTGCTCGATTCCTGTGGCTTTGAGAAACCGTCACGAAGGAATGTCCACCGTCTTGGAGATAAAGCACCGATCATGCAAGCGAACAGTGTCAGACAGACTACGAACATGAAAGAGTTCAGTGGCAGACGGTAGAAAAAGACAGCAGGTGGCGCCGTAGCTTCTGCACGGTCCTGTGCGGAGGCTTGTTTCCTCAGAGTGAGTCCGCTCCGTTAACGGGTTTTGGACGCACTCTTCATTCAAGCACGGTGCAGGTTCCACTACGCACCACCGCCAAACCCAAGGTTAACTTAAAAAAAGAATTTAAAAAAAGAACGAATCAGCACGACGACACACCACCTCGGAGAGGAAAGGGAGAGCCGGGAGGTCAGTGCTCAGACGGAGGTCAAGGTGGAGGGTTAGTAGAGGCTTCCCTGATCCATTCTCACCCCCGTTAGTCAATAATTAACCGTCACCACAGAGCACAATTAATTAGAGGGACATGTACACATTGTTCTACAGGAGGAAAAAGCAATTATAAAAATGAAGAATTGTTGACAATTTAAAAACCCCACACCCCCGAACGATGCTTTCAAATCCATTTACATACATGTTATTAGATCCAGCTGGAAAAGATTTGAAACCAAAAGAAAGACGACGACTAAACCTTTAAACGCCGGCCACAGCTGGAGCTGTACGAGCCACATGTTCCCAGGTTTGGTCTAGTCTGGATCAACGCGACTCGGGACGTTCCCGTTCAGAGAATTCAACTGAAATGATGGTTTTGACTTAAAGGCTGTGGGTTCAAGAACGTGGCCGTGTTAAAAACGTGCCACAGCTTCATCCATCTGTGTGTGAGCTTCAACTCTTACGTCTATTTTCGGAGGATTTTTAGACGTTTACAACCTCAAAAGACCTAAAATAATTACTTTTTTTTTTGTGGCAAATCCTGACCGACTGAAGTCGAAGAGTTTGATTCTTGGACTGTTCTGAGGGATTAGCTCGCAGTTGTTGAGGTTAGGAGAAATGTGCTGAAAAATGAGGGGCCCAGAGGTAAAGGTGTGTTGTCTTTTCGTGGCTTATCTGAGCTCCTGTCGTCACGACGGAAGCAGATTTCCGTAGGAAACAATTGCACCTCGTTGGCTCGACACAGTGGGCCAATCACCGGTGATGGGAGCCCCCGGGCCCGGCCCGTCGCTCAGACCAGAGTCCGATCAGCTGCTTTGGGAATGTGCGTTTGAGTGTTTGTGTGTAGAAAGACAGCCACTGTCCGTTCAACTTGCAGCGTTCTTGTAGACGGAGGGGAAGGGGATGCAGTTTCCGTGGTGATGGGTGAAGTGTCAGTAAGCCGAAGAGAGGAGCAGCTTAAACCTCCGCTACTGTCAAGCCGATTCGTTCCTCCTCCTGTCAGTCACGGTTGGGCTTCTTAAGGGAAAAGGCGAAGATGTTAAAATGTCCGCTGAGCTGTTGTACCTAGAAGAAAAAAAAATCAAATACAAAAGAAAGATCCTGTTTTTTTACAGTCCATCAAGATGTATTCAAGGGTTTAGTGAAATTTGGCTGCATAAAACCAGAAATGATGCTGCTCATCAAACACAAAAACTTTATTCAACATTTATGCACTTTAACCAGAAACAGTCAGAGTCACGAGTCTCTGTGACTTTTATTTTGTGGGTCAAAACTTTGGAAACTTCTGCTCTAGATCACGTATCAAACTGAAGGTCCTCGGGCCAGGTACGGCCCTAGCTGTAATTTTATCTGGCTCGTGAGATTAAATCTTAAATGTATTAAAACTGGCTCACTAATCTGTGACACAGAGTCTCTATCACTTCTTTAAAATCCTGTGCAGATTTAGGACAGGTTCCTCATGGAGATTAGCCAGTTTTGACTTAAAGAACATCAAGTTGGAGTTTTAAGTACTGTATTTTCTGGACTATAATTCCCTCTGGAGTATAGGTCACATCAGTCAACAAATGCTTATTTATGCAAGTTTCAGCTTTTGCTGCTATTTCAGCGACTATTTAGCAGTTTTTAAACTAATTGTAACTTTTTTGGCTAATTCCACAATACTTGCACTCATTTTTTCTTTTTTTCAGCCTAATTCAACAAAAATGCACTTCCTTCTGGTAATTTAAGCTTCTTTCTGATGTTTTAGCTACCGGTACTTTTCAGCTGGTTTTTGATTGTTGCTAATTTCAGCTATTTCCAGATAAATTTCCAGGTTTTTGTGCTCATTTCTGATTCTTTCAGCCTAATAGGGCAAACGCGTTCTTTCTGCTTTGGTCTGCTAATTTAATCTTGTTCTAAAATGTCAGCTACATTTTTAGCTGTTTTCAGATAAATTCAAAGTTTTCATGTTAACTTCTGCTATTTTCAGCCTAATTAACTTCTTTATGCCAATTTCAGCTTGTTATGCTGCTTTCAGCTTTTTCTGCTATTTCAGCTACTATTTAGCTCTTTTTATGCTAATTTTAGCTTTTTCAGCTAATTCCACTTTTTTTTGTTGCTCATTTCAGTTCTTTCTGCTTCCTTGTGGTAGTTTAAGCTTCTTTTTACCTTTGAGCTACTTTCAGCTCGTTATTTTCCTAATTTTTGTGCTCATTTCTGCTTATTTAAACCAAATTCGGAAAATGTATTCTTTCTGCTATCTTCTGCTAATTTAGGCTTGTTCTTCCATTTCAGCTACATTTCAATGGTTATTTTTTAGCTAATTTCAGCTGTTTCTCAGCAAGTTATTCAGTAATTAGCAGTCACACTGCATTTTCACAGGAAATGTAATTTCTCTAGATGATTTTTGACTTCTGAATCCTGCTGCTATGCTCCTAAACCGACAGACCTGAATCAAGTTGCGCTCGTTTTGCTCTGTCTGAGCTCTCATCCCGCTGCCTCGTCACAATCTGTGCACCTGAGATTTATGGTTCCACCCACTACTGACAGACTGACACTATTCATCATGCCACTGTGCCACGTTTACAAGCACCTCCCACAGCTTCACTGAGTTTTTACGATGCACTTCATAAACGCCACGTCTTTGTACAGCAAAGTGGTGTGAAGTTTAAAGTAGAACATCTAAACTGCTGTATGACTATGACATCGGAGAACCAGAGGAAATGAGACACGACCAAACCGTCGGATCAAAACAGAGATGACGTCAGCTCATCACAGACAGGTTCTTACCACAGATATGCCGTAGTGTATGTGTGCAAGGACGACAGCAGCTGTCCACACATACAGCAGCATCGTCTCGTTGGTGACGACCCCCGTCACGGCTAACAGGACCATCACAGTCATGGGCAGCAGCATCCAGCTCAGCGGCTGACAACGCGTGTTACTCATCTGACACACGATCAGCTTACACTGAAAACACAAACACACAATGTTCACACGCACACACACAGCTCCAGATGTTTGTCTCTGTGAGGCTAAACAGTAGCAAATGTAAAGATACTCACAGTGACGTTGGCAAAAGCTGTCCCCACCATGAGGTAGTAGATCCTGGGCTGCAGATCCAGGATGTTGGATGGAGAGAAGATGACCCAAGTGGTGGACAGGACGAAAAGGAGGACGGGAGAAAGGAAAGGCAGGAAAGCTTCGTACAGACCGCTGTGCTTCAGAGTGTTACTCCGGTGAGCCCTGAAAATCCACACAGCCAAAACACTTGAAAGAACTGCATCAAAGGGATTGTTCAGGTGTTTTGAAGCGGGATCCTGTGGAAAGGTTATGAACTGTTCATATCTTACCTGTTGTAGATAGATTTGTGAACAACCATTGTTAGGAGAAAGTTTTATTCTGACCAGGCTGCTGATCCACTTTGTTCTGGACACTGTTTGGACTATATGATGATTCAGCATTCATGCCCTTTTCTAGTTTTTATTTTTCCATATATTTGTTGCTATCCAACCACCTCAGCATAGGTTGTGCTCTTTTAGCCATTTATATAGCTAAACGTTTGGTTCATCCAGGAGATGGGTGCTAGGATTTTGTTTTAGTAATTTAAACTTTTCAAAATATTTAACTTTACTTACATTTTCCCCATAGAAATACATTAAGATCTCTTCGATTTCTTCAAAAACATTCTCTTTTATATCTGCTTCAGCATACCTTTTTCTTCTTTCAGCTGCTCCCTTCTTCAGGGGTCACCACAGTGAACTAACTCGCATGAAGACTTGACAATTGTTTTTACGCCAGATGTCCTTCCTGACACAACCACAGACCACCGAGCTACCACAGCCCTCTGTGTGGAGCAGAGAGCTGCCATCTAGGGCGACTGGTGGAGCAGATGGTGGGGGTTAAGGGCCTTGCTCAAGGGCCCAGAGTGGGGCAAATGAGGGTGGAGGCAGGTGCGGGTGCTTCGCCTTTCCTGCCCACATATTGATGTTGTTGGTTCGGAGAGTTGAACCGGCGACCTTCTGATCACAGGCCCACCTTCTCCAACCTCTGCACCACCATCCCCCACTTTTTTGTTCTCATATAAATTATTTCAATTTTTAGCAATCGTTCTGCAACTCTTAGCTAGCCTTTCGCTACTTTTAAAACTCTTTTGTGGTTTGTTGCTATTTGAAGCTTTAAGCTACCATTTTACTACTTTTAGCTTTTAGCTAAAATGTTTATACTTTTAGCTTTTAGCTAACATGTTGATACTTTTAGCTTTTAGCTAACATTTTGATACTTTAAGCTAAAATGTTGATACTTTTAGCTTTTAGCCAACATGTTGATACTTTTAGCTAACATTTTGATACTTTAAGCTTGCTTGTGGGAAAAGTGAAACACCCACACCTGCCTCCACCCTCATTTGCCCCACTCTGGGCCCTTGAGCAAGGCCCTTAACACCCCCCCCCCCCCCAATCTGCTCCCCCAGTCGCCCTAAATGGCAGCTCTCTGCTCCGCACAGAGGGCTGTGGTAGCTCGGTGGTCTGTGGTTGTGTCAGGAAGGACATCTGGCGTAAAAACAATTGTCAAGTCTTTGTACGAGTTAGTTCACCGTGGTGACCCCTGAAGAAGGGAGCAGCCAAAAAAGAAAAAAAAACTTGCTTTTTGTTACTTTTAGCTACCCTTGTACCACTTTGAACTAAGCTTTCTTTACTTTAAGCTTCTAGCTAGCCTCCTGCCACTTTTAGCTACAGTTTATCTTTACTTTGGCTAGCATTGCAACATTTTTTTGCATTTAGCTACTGTTCTGCTTCTTTTAGCCTTAGCAATAGCCCATATTCTTCCGTACACTTTTTGTCATTGAGAACTCGGCTCCCACAACCCTTTTTAAACTTAAACAAGTTTTTAAAAGTAAACAAAGGTCTTTTAAAGACGTATCCACAACAGGTAAGTTATTGATAGTCCAGAACATTTCCACAACACCCCTGTTCAAACGATCTGAACCATCATGTTAAATAAAAACCAAGGCAAATAAAGCCTTTTCCAAACCATACTTACTTCAGGACATTGTAGAGGCTCATGGGTAAAGTCACAGTAAAGGAACAAGCTGGAAACAAGCAAAAGTCGGGGTTAAGAACCGCCCGAGGCGTGAATATATATACTCAGAGACCAAACAAAGACTCACCCATGATCATGAAGGTGAACAGGTCTCTATAAAGAAGGTTCCAAATGACTGGTTGGTACCAGGTTTCTACACCCACCACAGCAGTGACCAGGTAAACCAGTGAGATTGTCTGAAAGGGAACATCAAGACGTTAAAAGTCTGGTTGGTTCAGGCTGCAGTCAAACTGTGTGTGTGTGGGGGGGGGGTTTACCACTTGGCTGACGTCGTATCCCCAGGGCAGAAACAGAATGCCGGTGTTGTATTTCTCCCAATGCGACAGGATGAAGGAGAACAGCACCACCCACAGTATGTAATAGAGTATGATCACACTCACGCCACTCTCCCCACGCCCAAATATGGAGTACACGGTGGCTACGAAAAACACGCACGCCCAGCTGTCCAGACCGTGGTCAAACAGCTCTCCCAGTGGCGTGGAGGAGTTGGTGCGGCGAGCCTGCTTACCGTCCACACCGTCTTCACAACCGGGAAAAGACAGAGATAGTTAGTAAACAGCAGAGACGTGAATACAGAAAGAAATAAGGCAGCATTTCTGGAAGGATTACATCATTAGTTCCTGTTGCAGAAGGTGAATGTTGTTGCCTGTCTGTGTGTGTGTGTCTGTAGTGTTAGCAAAACTTCTCATGAACCACTGGACAGATTTTATTTAAACTAACAGAATAACCATTGGGTGTACATTATTAACTTTCAGCCCATGTCATGATGGCACACAGGGTTGACTGTAAAAGTTGATGCCAGAGTTTGAAGCAGAGATCTTGTGGCACGTGCAGAGCTCAGAGTCTGTGCTGGGGATGACTCTCAGCTACTACCAGTGGTGATTTTAGCCTCTATTTGGGGGGTGTTCAAGCACCCCGAGATTTTAACTCAGAGCCCCTGAAAAATAAACAAACATCATTAGGATTTTGTTAAGGAAGCTTAGTTCTCAAATCTTATTCACCGAAATACTGAATAAATATGGAATAAGGAATAAATATTGAAGGGCAGCACAGTGGCACAACTGGTAGAGCTGCTGCCTCTCAGCGAGCAGGTCCTTGGTTCAAACCCATGTCCAGGGGCCTTTCTGGGTGGAGTTTGCATGTTCTCTCCGTGCATGCGTGGGTTTTCTCCGGGTACTCCGGTTTCCTCTCACAGACCAAAAACATGCATGTTAGGCTGATTGGTAACTCTAAATTGTCCCTAGGTGTGAGTGAGAGAGTGAATGGTTGTTTGTCTCGTTTGTCTCTATGTGTCCCTGTGATGGACTTGCGACCTGTCCAGGGTGTACCCCGCCCCTCGCACAGTGATTGCTGGACATGGGCACCAGTGACCCCCGTGACCCAAAATGGAATAAGCGGGTAAAGATAATGGATGGATGAATAAATATTGAATATGGAATAAATTTTGCATAAACATGGAATAAATATTGAATAAGGAATAAATATTGCATAAATATGGAATATTGAATAAATATTTAATAAATATTGAATATGGAATAAATATTGAATAAATATGGACTAAATATGGAATAAATACTGAATAAATATGGAATAAGGAATAAATATTGAGTAAGGAATAAATATGGAATAAATATTGAATAAATATGGAATAAATATAGAATAAATATTTGTATGGTATGGTATAAAGTTTATTCATTTTAAAAAATACAAAACAATTCCATAACAAATATAAAAAAAAATACAAGAGATTTAAAATGAAAGGCAGCAGAAAGAAGAAAAAATCTCATTATATCTGCCCCTTTTTTTTCAAACAATTAGTTCAATCATAATAATCTTCAAGTAATATATTGAATATGGAATAAATATTGAATAAATATGGAATATATGATGAGTCTTAAACAGGCCAGTAAAATCTATAATTTTTTTACATGAGTCGGATCCTCGGCGCCACCTGTCAATCAACCCAGTACGCTCGTCAGCAACTGACCAATCAGCGACCTCAATTTGTCCCGAAGGTAAACGCCTCTTACCTGCAGGAGCTCCACCCCCTTTTCCTCCAACAACATTGTCAGGGTTGTGCATTACGAACCTTTTGCAGTCCGAGGTTATTAGTTAAATTAAAGGTTAATGTTTAAAGCTAGCTGTGTTTTGTTTTGTGCGTTTTGTATGTAGACATCTGTTGTAACTTCTGGTTGCAATAAGTTTAATCTTTGTTTGCTATGATCCTTTAAAAGTCATTTATGACTGAGCTCCTCGTTTACGACCATCCCACCCTGAACACGCCTGATCCGCCTGACCTCGAAAGATAAGCAGGGTCGGGCCTGGTTAGTACGTGGATGGTAGAACACCTGGGAATACCAGGTGCTGTGAGCTTTTACTCTTCTCAAAAACCGCACCAGTGGGTGCGTTGTTCAAGCCAAGAGCCAGTGTCAGTACTGGGGGCTAAGCACCCCTAAAGGTCAGATCCTAGAATCGCCCTTGGCCACAGCAATTTCTGTTAAACTGAGTTACAGATATCTATGTGTTTGCTCAGATCAGTGGGCTGTGGCAGACGTCTTGAATTTGATTGACTGCAATCAATATTATGTTGTTGACGTACACCCAGTGAATACTTGGGCGTTTCATTAGTCCATCCAGTGGTTCATGACATGTGCTAATGAACACACACCAACAGGGAAGAACCTTTAAACACACCTCTTTGGCAATAATTATCCAGCATAATTTGAAATGTAATTTGGGTTGAAATGTCCCTCTCCAGTAACGGACCTTAAAGTTTTACACAGAAACTCTGACGCTGACAGCAGCAGCTCAACATCTGGCAGCTCATCCTGATTCTTGCTGAGCGGAGTTTATGGTCAGATCAAAAAACAATATACTATCAACCAAGACTGTATTCTGAAGCAGCGGGAGACCGAGCCTTTCAGAGTCATGGTGGTCCCCCACCCCAACTTCTCAGAAAGCCTCAGAGGGAGCAGAGGTCAGAACTCACCCAGCGTATAGGCTAAGAAGTTGAAGATCCCTGCAGCAACCCAGACGCAGCTAGGCACGTGTTCATGTCCTGCAGCTGGAAAACACGGGATGTTAATATATAAACACCACCAAGAGCACAAAACACATGAGTAACACCGTTCTCATTCAGCACAAATCAATCCAAGACTGAGAGTCGAGTCTGAAGTGGAATTACGTGCAACTTGGTTTAGCTGTGCTTTTAAAGACGAACAGGAAATAACTGTCAAAATGCAAATGTATGTTAATTAAATATTTAGATGACACGACATACATGTCAAAGAACTGAATCCTAAATCTGTTCACGCTTGATGAGACCACACAAAGAACACACAGTGACGTTGTAGTGAACATAGACACTAAATTAACTCTTTAGAATTAAACAAGTCTGAATTTTCTCAACTCCACCTTCAGAGGTGGTCTGGACCCCTTGTACATTTAGCAGTCTAAACAGGAAGATGCCTCAGTCCTTCATGTCAGACCTCGTACTGATCTGAGGTGATCCCTCAGAAACAGCTGAGCAGACATTTTGAGATTAAAAAAAAAAAAAAGGGTCTGCTCAGCTGCTGCTGATTAAAGATGATTAAATAGAAACCCTTGGGGATATTTTAATACAGTTGTTCCCAACCGTGGTCCTTGAGGAACACCATCCTGCATGTTTTGTTGTTTCTCTTCCGACACACCTGATGCAGGGATTTAATTACACCATGCTCCGCAGAAGCCACCCATTTATTAAAAGCAGGTGTCGGAGCAGAGAAACAACTAAAACATGCAGGATGGTGTTCCTCAAGGACCAGAGTTGGGAACCCCATTAAACATACTGTCTTATCTGCTTATTAGAATTTAGTCAGGATATTATTAATAAAAGTGGACTACGAGTGTCTCTAGCTCGATACTTGCTCTGCTTGTTTAGACGTGCCTGGACCCTGTGTGGTCGCTGTGAGCCACCAGGCGCTGTCAGTCAGAGATAAACAGCGTTACGTCATTTTACGACCGTCAGTGAACAGAGGCGTCAGAGCTGACCTCATGCAGTCAAACCACCTGAAACGGATTCAAAACCGTTTCGTAGCAACAAATGTGAACCGTGTGTCAGCTTGAATTAGTGATCATCCAGAGCAGCAGGTGGCGAGTTTGGATTCAAGCAAAAACCAAAATACACACAACAACACTCTTTTGTAAGAACAAAGCGCGCGGACGTACAAGAGGCAGTGAAGTCAAAGTCGTAGAAGGCCAACATGAGGAAGTTCAACACGAGGAACATAAAACCTGTAAACGTGATGAGGTTTGGAGCCAACCACGTTGGTAGAAACTGTTGAGAGATGAAAATAAACAGTTAAACAGCTTATCAAGTCATTTAGCTTATTATCATAAACAATTCCATAACAACACTGTCGCCACTTTAAGGGCTCTATAAGCCTCTCTGCAGTCTGTCAGGCAGATATTTTAAATAATGTCACATCACACGTAAAGTAAAGATTAGGTGACTGATAAAGACTACAGATATGAATCAGGAAGAGATATAGTGTAATAGATATAGATATATAGAAGATGCAGCTTAGCAGACACATGATAAATATTCAAAACATGGTTTTGGGAAGGTTTGAAATGACTATCCCAGTGAAGTGTTGCGTCGTCACCGTAACACTCGTTGCCATTCATGGAAACTTCATTAATGATGGAGCGCCCGCAGGTCTCCCTCACCTTCACTACACAGTTCCAGAAAGGATGCATAACATAGACGGACAGGGGGTTTGTGTCCACCGCGCTGTACTGTTGAGAAAATAAAAATACAAAAACAAAAACTGGATCATTTAGGTGACGTGTCATTTCAAAGATCCAAACAAGCAGACGTCTAGTTGCTGCAACTTTATCCGAGCAACACAAACACGTGTAAGAGATCCAGCCTAATATTGCCAGACGTTCATACGGTTTAACGAGCGCATACAAAATATTTATCGTATGTGAGAGGTTTGAAGACTTTGTCCAACTTTCACCTTTATTTCTATTTAAAAAGGACCTTGACTTTTATTTAGTTTGAAAAAGAGTTGACCGTTAATATTTATCTGCATTTTTTAATCTGTTAACTCTTGTCATATTAACCACAGAGTAATGCGACGACACAACTTCAAACATGTACACAAGCTGTACTGCAGTAGTACATGAGACTATTTATGTTTTATAAAAACACAGATTAGAGGTATGTATACTGAAAACACTTCAGAAAACATTGTGGTCATGTTAAAAATGTCACGAGCGTTTGTTAGATTGAAAAAAAAGCTATAAAGTAATTTACTATATTTAAAAAAACATTTCAACCACAATTTATAGTTCATCTCTTTCACTAAAAAAAATCAATTAAATAAATTTTAAAAAAGGTAGAATGAACTGGAACATGTATGAATTTTTTGATGTTTTAGTCTAATTTAGAAATAACAATATTTTGATGATTTAGATAAGGGAGGTAAAGGGTTGTTGCTAGTGGCTCAGAGTCACCATGGTAACCAGCTGTGTGTCTCACTCCATGACTGACATGTTAGTGAGCTGCAGATAAAAACGCACACTGAAATGTAAGCCTCAGTTTCACCATTGATTTCCCTTTTTTTTATCCTTGCAATTATTTGTTTAATTCTGTCTACATTATATAAACTGTACCAAACATTATGGCATAGCTGGGCACGCCATTTCAGATGGAGCCGAACATTTTGGTGCATTATTAAACTGTGTCACAAGAGAAAAGACAAAACATTTTAACAGAATAGTATGAGGGTGCTTCAAACCTGCTCTTGTTGCTTGCTCCTGTATGTGAACATTTGTTCTCATAGAGAACAACTACTGTTTAAACTAGAGATGCACGATATTGGATTTTTGGCCAATATCCGATACAAATATTTTTTCCTAGACCTTCTTACAGAGACCACACAGCTTTCTCTGCTGTGGAATTAAAATACTACATTATTCTGCATGGTCTTTGTCAGTTTGGCCGGTTACCAAATGCAGATGCCAAAAAGGAGCTGAAAATGATGAAACACTTCAACTTGGATTAGGTTTAATGTCAAATTTATTCATGACATTTATTCTCTCTAACACAATGACAACACCCAAACGGTGCAAATTTGTACATTTTCACAAATTTAAACTCAACGGCGCATGTGATGTCATAACGTTGTGCTGGCGCTGCAGACATCCTTGTCATGCAAAAACAGCACCACATATATAGTGTGTGTAAAAACAGCGCCGGTCGGTAACAGATGTAATGATCGGGGACTTATTTTGAAGGAATGGTCGATATCCGATATTTAACTTTATCGCTAATATCGGCCGATACCGATACCATGCCGATAATATCGTGCATCTCTAGTTTAAACAAATCCACATTATCATCGTACTTTGCTGTTTTTTAGTACATCAGCTACCAGAAGAAGTCAACTTTAAGGCAATTATTTTTAAAAAAATGTCCCTCAGGATGAACTGCTCCGGTGAATTTTGTTGTAATAATGGTAGGAGTGAGGCTGAGGGACCAAATACATTAAAAAAAAAAAAGAATTTTATTTTACCTTATAGTAGAAATAAGTTTAAAATAATGTACAAGCAACACTTTATTTCATCCTACTCGTGATGTTTTGCACATACATATGCTGATAACAAACAAGTTAAATTTAGTTTCTCTCTGAAGTTCTTAATCTTATGAAATTACTTGAATTCCTTCAATCAGCTGGAACTAACTGGATAAACAAAAGGTTTATCAGTTACAAGCCAACAACAGACGAGGTATGACAACTTCAAAACAACACTATATGGTCAATACAAAGCTTTTACACACGAGAGTCCCTGTTTCCTCTGGTTCAAAACTCAGTAGGTTTACTCCCACTGATGGGTTCCTATAGTACATGGAGGTATTTTATCAGTGTTGGCAGGAATAAACAGTAATAAAACAAGAGATCAATGTGCAAACATAACTATATAGAAAAGCTTTGTAATGTGAGGGGGAAAAACAATGTTCTGAGGGGCATTTTTAAATGAAACTGGGAGTGAAAGCAGCTAGCTGTTAGCTTTTCTTGCGCCAATGCAAAGCTCACGATCGTAAAACAGCGGACTTCCGGTATTGCATTTCAAAATAAAAGCGCTTCTCATCAGACGAAAAGGCTTTTTCGCACAAATTCTGGGAATATTTTTAAAGCTACAAAATGTTACACTATCTACTGAAAACGTGCGCTCATATACAACGACTTATGTCAAGAAATTACAAGGACTGTCTGATTAAAAGTCGTGACTTTTAGTAAAATGAACAGCAATATAACAATAATAAAAATAAAAATGTCTTGAAGAATTGCGGCGCAGGGTTTAAATGATAAATAACCCTAACCGTGCAACCTCAGTAATAGTTTATTTTATGTAAAAACTGGATACGTTCCGGTGTAAGTTTAGCCAACTTGACGTTTCATCAGGGAAGCACCCTGTGGCTCGTGACAGCAGCTAGCCTGCTATTACAGCTCATCACTCGTACCTTGTATTTGTCGAAGCCCGCAAGCTGCTCCTGAGTAACATAGTCGTAAAGAGCCATGGCGGCACAGTGAGGCTTGACGATGTGATAAATCAATATCTCTTCTAAAGAAGAGGCAAATCCTTAACGTTAGCTGCCGACTTGAAGCACCATCTAGCTTAGCTGCTGTCTTCACGCCGGGTGAGGCAATGTCGAATCACTGGAGCCACGCCTACATTATGGCAAACCGTTGTATCATGTAATCAAACACGCTTCTTTCGATAGTTTGGACATTTATATTAATATTTGTTGTTTAATATTTCATTTTCAAATTGAAAATTTAGGACATGATATCTAAATTAACAGGCAAATATTGCATGACAAGGTCTTCCCTACTGAGCCCGTTTTAAAGAAATCTGTCTAACAAAACATTGGAGACTAGCCAGGATTTGTATTTCAAAGGTGTATAATTCAGTTCTTTCTAGTTAAAAATGCAAACATCAATAAAAACTGTATGTATTTCAGATATTTACAACAGTTGTTTCAATCATATTTTCACCTGCTTTACATTAAGATAACACCCAGTCAAGTTCTCCACAAATATAATAAAATCAGACGGCTGTCTTAAATTGTTGTTGTTGTTGTTGCTGCTGTTACACTTGAATTTCCCATCCGTGGGTCAATAAAGGCTGTTTGTATTCTATTTCTAAATAGATTTAAATAATCATAAAATGATTATTATTTCTAGAACATTTCTTTCTAGCTGGGGGGGGGGGGGGGGTGTTTACATTTGAAATTACATTAAAGATTCTTGAATAAATTATGATTTAAGTCATTTAGAATAAAAATATTACAAATATAATGTAAAGGCCCATCTTTAGCATTTAAAGTGACATTAAATTATAAATCGGCTTGCCTTAAAGGGGCTGGCACTAAATAAAATCAACTTTTTAGATTTCTTTTTAGGTCAAATATGAAAAAAATCGACCTTTTTTCAAAAGTGCCATCAACCTTTAACTGTGTTCAGGTCTTGTTTAAAAAATAAAATAATAAAAATCTGTGACGCTGTTAAACGTGACGTGGCTTTCTGCCGCAACCGGAAGTGACGTCTTCACTAGTGTGTGCAGCAAGAGAAGCTGGAGTCGCTCAACCGGGATAAAAAAATAAACCATTATAAGGAAAAAGGTAGGAACTACGTTTACCATAGCGAAACTTCCGTTTAATATTTTAATTTGTTTGAATTTCGGACACTTCGTTACTCGCATGCACACGTTTATTCGTTTGTTGCGCTTGTTAGCCACCTAGCTAAGTTAGCATTCCACATTTTGCCGGAACACCAAAGTAAAAAAGAAAAATATATTGGGCTGGCTAGTTTGGCTTGACAACGTCACTGCACAAATAGATTGTAAAATGTGCTTATCAATATATATTTCACTGTGCAGCTATTTAAAAAAAAACTAATAAAAACGCAACACGTCATCCAAACAGCGCTGATTTCATGATAGACTTTCAGTGTAAAAGATCAGGACGGCATTTGTTTTTCGTGTTACGTGACAAAAAGTATTAAATAGGTGTATTCTTATGACATTAAAGATAAATCACGAATGGTTACACCTGATGAAACAAGTGATGGATCCTAAAACTGATCTACACTAATAATAATGATAAATGAGTTAAATCCTTCATCGTCACTGACCCAACATGATCCATTCAGCCTCTCATGCTCTGACATCTGCAGGATGGTGACGGATGTGCAGCTGGCCATCTTTGCCAACATGCTCGGCGTGTCCCTGTTCCTGCTGGTCGTGTTGTACCATTATGTTGCTGTCAATAACCCCAAAAAGCAGGAGTAGAGTCCACCTGCAGAGGTGAGTGACGCTGCAGCATTCAGATCACTGCAAGGGATCAAAGCTCCACTGTGGTGCCTGGGGTTTTATTATTTAAAATGTTAAATGAATCGAAATGATTCATTAAAGTCTTGGTCTTACTTTGTCCTCTGATGGGAGAGTTGGGGGTTTGATTCCACCACATGCTGAAGTGTCCCTGGGCTGAACCCTCATTGCCTCTGATGTGTGTCCCATTGGTGCATGAATGTGATCTAAAGCACTGATTATTCTTTTTATGGATATAGTAGAGTGCTGTATGAATGGGTAAATGTGGATATAGTGCTGTAAAGAGCTTTGAGTATCTTGATAAGATAAAGTACATATATAAGTATAGTCCGTTTATTTATTTATTTCTCTTGTCTACCTCAGGTGAGATGTGCATCGGAGCCATGACTCTCCTCCAGTTCTTTTCTGAAAGACCATTTTCTGTTGCACCATAGTATTTTTGTTTTCTAATAAAAATGTTTGACTCTCATTTGATTTGAAGTTATATTCTGTTGTTTTTCTACACTTAACATTCAGACTGTTTTTTTTTTTTTTTCTAGCCTCCAGGTTGTAAAGTTTTAAGATAGTTAATTTAAAAATAAATACAAATGTTATGACCGGGCGAGTGGTGGTGCGGAGGTTAGAGAAGGCAAATTGGTGACAGGAAGGTCTGTGGGAAAGGTGAAGCACCCTGCCTACACCCTCATTTTCCTTAATCTGGGCCCTTGAGTGAAGCCCTTAATCCCGCTCCACATGTGGCTGTTGTAGCTCGGTGGTTTGGAAGGACATCCTGCATAAAACAAATGCCAAATCTTTGTGCGAGTTAGCTCACCCTGACGAAGAGAACAGCCGAAGGAAAACTCAAATATCAAACAAGTTTTCTCCAGCACCAAACTTTGTGTTGAGGTTGGATTTTCTAAACGGCAGCGAGTCCATAGTAGGATTTAAGTAAAATGATGGTAGTCTGAAATGACTGTGCCTCTGATTTGGATTCAGTGAGTGGATTCACGAGTACCTCAGTGTATTTTGATGCTTCGACATGAATCTTTGCTTCAGCTCTTCTTATGAACCTACAAAGGAGAAACCTCACCACCGCAACCAAGCTCTGTTGGTCTCGAGCAAAGTGAACTAAAATGGTTTGTTTCTTATTTAACACCAATTTAAATAAAAACATGTCAAGGTCTACATACATTAAATTCTTTTTTTTAAATTTTTTTATTGTTGGATGCTTTTAACAAAAGTCTATATATATATAAAAAAAAAAAAAATTTACTCCATAAATTTGCAAAATGATTTTTAACTTGTTAAAATATACAAGCCTGTTATCCATTTGTACATAGTGGATTTTTATTTAAAAAAAAATTCCAAATAAGAAAAAGTCCATGGAAGTGATAAATTTATACACTTTTATAAACAATAGATACAAAGACAAAATACTCTAAAATAATTACGCATTCTTAAAAGGTGCCGTTGTGCTCAGATATTTAAAAATCACTCTGTAATGACTCAAATGAAAACATGCTTCATGATAATGGAGTGAAGTAAACACTGTTGGAGAGGCCAAACTGCACCTAGTTCAGAGACTGCTGATGAAAATATTGATGATTTATGATGATTTGAAAAACGGCTAAAAAAGGCACTTCGTCAGCTGCTCATGTTACGCACCATTCAGGAAACAAACAAAAATAAATGAACTATTGCACATTAAACCCGAAAAATGAGCCATTAGCATGAAGTTTGAAATGATTTTGAGAGCAGGACAGGAATATGAGCTCACAGCTGGCAGAATGCACGGTGCAGTTTCTCCACTTCACACACGGTCACTGTGTCACAAGCGTTCAGCTCAGCCTGTAAACACACACAGCACGTCATGTTTCAGCTGTACGGTGCATTCAAGGTTCAGGTTTGTGTGGGTTTCACCTGCTGCAGCGGTCTGTCGGTCTCTGGTGTGGCCTCTTCGACAGCGCTGGGTTCACAGTGGAAACTCGTCTCGGGGCTTTTCACGTCACATTTCTCTGAGATCCCTGTAAAGAAAAATGAGACGTCGGCTGTAAACCTGCCACGTCTAGACTTTGAAAAGATTCTGGATATTACTGAGCTCAAACGATGGAGTCCTGAGCAGCGACGGAATGGGAAAACGGGACTACTTGATTTAAAAACAAAAAAGTACACGCGGTGTGTTCATGGAATGTAAGAGCCAGAGGAAATCTGAAAGTTTAGGTGCCTAATAAGAACATGCTTAAAATAAGTCATCGTACTTTAAAATGTGTTTATAATCAGTACAAAAATGTTATTTCCTAAATTTAACGGGTAAATACATTTTTTCAGACAATTTGAAGTAGAGTTCAACAAAGTCCACGCTCAATAATCCAATCCAACAATTTTCAGTCAGGTCATCTGGACAGTTTTTTTTTTTTTTCTGAAATGTTTCACCTTCCATCCAGAAGGCTTCATCAGTCAAGGAAACGCACAACACAAAACGGATTCTTCCCCCAACAGCTTACTCCAAAGTGGAACAAACCAGTTATGTTGGTGCTGTTGGGGGAAGAATCAGTTCTATGTCATATAAGCTTCGCCCTTTAAGGCCTTCGCTTTAGTGGGTTTATCCCGTTATGCAGAGCATAAGCACTGAAAAAAATTAGTCCACGCCCACCCGCTGTGTGGGCCCTACCCGGTCCGTATAAATTACGTTAAGAGCGGGAAATCGGCTCCCATTTTTTCTTCAGCGAGCTAATATAGCACTGTCAGAAGAACAAAGAAGATAAGTTGTGTAAATGACCAACCTTGTGAAGGATGCTGGGCCCGGCAGTCGACCTCCGGTCGTCCGGTGAGTTCTCCTCCCCGAGGAGAAGATGACAGCAGTCTTATTCCAAGGTAAGCGTCGTGGAACATTTCCCAGTGACAGGTCACTACACGCTGGACAACGCCATCTTGTGTTTTTTCCTCTTATCGCCGACCCTCGGGGCGAACCGGATGGTTCCTCCGGGGCAAGGTGTGCTCAGCTGCAGCCCCCGCTGCTCATTCCCTCCCGGGGAGCGTAGTGTAGGTGGAGGGGGGCTGAGTGAATGCTCACCCCATCCCACCTCGTTTTCGCATCGGCGATCACACCGCTCCCGGCCGACAGCGCCCTCAGGGGTTGCCCGGCGGAACCCGGGAGGAGGCTGACATGAAGGGACCCCCTTTTTCTACGTCCCTCGCCTTTTCCCGCCAGTTCGGATGATCGGCGGAAAGGTTATTTTTCACTGACGTGTTTTTCCAGGCAGCCGCAGTTAGCAACAACGTGCGCTGCTAGCATATAGCATGTCCAAGGGACTGAAGGCCGCAGACCTGCCTTGGAGACAAAGAACTCCTTCTGTAAGGCAACTGACGCTATTCCTCGGTTCCCTCCCCTGGAGCCAAGCCTCGCGGAAGCTTCCGGAGCGAAGCTGTCCAGGTCGGAGCAGCGTCCCGTCCCTCCGGAGGAACCAGACGGCGACCAAAGCTCTCCAATCGAGCCCACCGACGTGTTTTCAGGCAACCGCAGTTAGCAACAACATGCGCTGCTAGCATTTAGCATGTCGAAAAGGCTGAGACCTCAGACCTGCCGGAGGAGACTAAGAGCTCCCTGTGTAGATCGGCAGACGCCATCCTCAACATGTGCGCCGCTCCCTCGGGTTGCCTGTCGAGGATTGTAGCATGGATGACGGTAATCCAACGTTCCATCTGGCTCCGTCACTCTCCATTGCTGCCGGAAAAGCTGCACAAAGACCGGATGGAGGGCCCCATCTCATCGGACGCGCTGTTCGGAAGCAGCTTGACGTCCATGCTGACGAATTCGAAGCAGTCGGAGGAGACGTCGGAAGCTGTACGCCATCTCATCTAGCCGCGCGGCTCATTCCGTCCTCCAGCCCGCTGGAGAGATCGTCAAAAGCAGAGGCAGAGACATCGACGCTCCACGGCAGCAGCAGCTTCGTCTCGCCCAGCTCCACCACCAGCCCCGCCCGCCAGAGACCACCCCTCCTCAGTCCGGCAGCCTGCACTTCAGCGTTTTCCCCAGAGATCGCCTGCAGACGGCGCTCGGAGCAAACAAACCGCAGAGCTCACGGGGGAGAAGTTTTAAGAAATGACGGTCTGCGGAGGATGTGTGTATAAATGACACAGGAATTGAATAAATGATTTTTCAAAGATCAAAACGCCTGTTTTTAGCCAGTCTGTAAGCTCGGATGAGCTCACAGCCGCTACACACCCTCCACTCATAAAGAGCCGGTGTCCTTAAATAAAGGTTTTTTAAATCCACCGCCGCTCCCTCACATGCCCAGACGCTCACGTGACACCACGGTAAGCGAAATAACTTGTTGTCAATCAGGCCCGCACGATCACCTCCCAACGGTGTTTACGCGCTCCCGAGCGAGACAAGCAGCCTCCATCCAACGGCACTGTGTCGATGATGCACGCACAGCTGCCCGGCGCTCACCGGCCCACATCGGGATAAATGTGGGACCGCAGGCCGGGTCCGGTGGAGGTCCCTGCTCTCAGCGAAAACAACACACGCCTCTCCTGTATGAACGCGAGTGGCCGTCATCCACCGCGTCCCAGCGATCAGCAGCTCACGGCGGCATAAGCGTGAGACAGCTGAATGAATCCAATGACGGGCCCCGCCCTCAGCGAGAGCGGCGCGCGTCCCTCCAGAGGAAACGTGCGCTCCCGCGAGGCTCACAACCTTCACTTCATCAGCTGACACACGCCTCGCCTCAGCACACACCGCCCCGCCCGGACATGAAGGTTGGTCCGCGATCCAGTCACAGCGCGCGGGCGCGCGCAGAACAGCCCTTTCGAGAAAGCCTCGCCTTGGGTCACGCGGAAAACATTTCCGCGACGCATGACGGCGGTCGAGGCGGAGGTTTGGATGACATCCGTTCAAAACACGGCACATCATTTAAACGCACGTCCACTCCACGAACGTCACGCAGAGTGGTTAAAAACATGCTCACCGGACAGATGGAGGGACAGAGTGTTATGCAAGGGTTACACGCTGCAGTTTGCAACCCGACCCCCTCCGTTCGGAGGAGTTATAGAGACGGTCCTGTCATCACCAGACCAAGTCTCAGCCTTAAATGCAGAAATCCAAGAGCTTCTGATAAAAGGTGTAATCTCAAGAGTTCCCAACGAGGAGGAAAACACAGGGTTTTACTCAAGCTACTTCCTGGTCCCCGAAAGGACCGGAGGGATGAGACCGATTCTGGATCTGTCAGCTTTCATCAAAGCGATCATGAACAGATTTTTTCACATGTTGATGAACAGACAGCTGTTGGACAACATCCAGGAAAACGACTGGTTTGTCTCCATCGTTTTAAAAGATGCCTATTTTCACACACCAATCATCCCAAAACACAGAAAATTTCTGCGTTTCGCCTTTCAAGGGATGAAGTACCAGTACAACAGGTTGCCTTTTTTGGGTACTCCCTCGCGCCTCGTACGTTCTCAAGTGTGTGGAGACAGCCCTGCATCCACTGCACAAGCAGGGATGAGGGTTTTGTTTTTACCTGGACGACCTGCTGCCCCTGTCTCACTCCAGACAGGAAGCATTGATACAGGCTCAGGTGTTAGCATCACACCTGCTAAATCTGGTTTTCGCCATACTGGAAGAAAAGCTCGATTTTCCCGGCCCAGATAATTGTTATCTGGGAGTGGAATTAAACTCAATTACCATGACGGCTCGTTTATCACAAACAAGAATCGACACTCTAAAAACCAATTACGCCACGTAAGACCTGGCAAAGTGGTAACAGCTGTCTCCGTCATGAAGCTGTTGGGAATGACGTCATCAGCTCACACAGTGGTCCCGCTGGGTTTGTTACACATGAGGCGCCTCCAGAGGTGGTTTACGCGTCTGCGTGTGGATCCAGTAAAACAAAAGAGACGGATGATCACTGTCCCTCCCTCCATGGGAGCAGACCTCCGACACTGGGGAAACACCCTGGCTCTGTCAGAGGGAGTCCCCGTCAGCAGATCCACGTCACGTGTCAGTCTTCACGGACGCGTCTCTGTCAGGTTGGGGTGGGGAACATGCCTATCTCAAGCAGTAGGGGCGCTGTGGCCCCACCGCACATCAGCCCACATCAATGTTTTGGAGTGTCGCACAGTGCTGAATGTGATTCAACTTTTTGCTCCCGTGCTACAGAATCAACACGTGTTGATTCACACAGACAACATGGTGACTGCTGCGTACATAAACCGCCAGGGGGGTGTGCGTTCAGCCCAGATGTTACACATTGCGCGGAAGCTACTGAGTTGGGTTCATCAAACCTGCTTTTATTAGAGCAGTTTACATATCCGATGTTCTGAACAGAGGGGCTGATGTGACGTCCAAGGGCGGCCCACGTTATGTGGACCGGATCCTCCATCCGGATCTGATGTTTTTCAGACGCAGCAGAAGTTGGCAAAGCAGCTGTGGACCTGTTTGCGATGCGAGAAGAACGCTCAATGTCAACTACGGTTTTCCCTGAGCCCGCGAGACGATCCATCGCTGGGGGGGGACGCATTTGCTCACAGTCGGTGGCCCAAAACGCTTTTTACGCGTTTCTTTCCCCCCCACCTCCTCTGTTTTTTACGGTCCATGAACCGAGTTCAAGAGGAGGGATTGACAGCCCTCCTTGGTGGCTCCCGGCGTGTGAACGCACTATGGTTCCCAGGCCTGCAACGTCTGTTGTTGGGTCGCCGTGGAACTGTCATGGAGGAAGGATGCTCTCCTTCAGGCAGGAGGAGCGACCAAGAGTTACCCAGAAATAGGTCAACACCGGTGGGTCTGACCGCTGAGCGGTTCCACTTAGAGGATGGGTCTCCCTCAGGAGATAGTGTGCACAATTCAAGATTCACGTGCTGCATCTACCACAGTTCTGTACACATCAAGGGGACGGCTTTTCAGCGCTGGTGCACAGAGAAGGTTTAGAGACCACCTCATGCCTTTTAAGCGGCGTGTTGTTTTTCTACAACAGCTGATGGATAGGGAGTTGGCTTTCAGTACGCTTTAACGTACGATTGCAGCCATCTCTTCCTGCCACAAAGGGTTTGGAGTCAGAACAGCTTTTATCACCCGCTGATGAAGCGGTTTCTAAAAGGTGTACAGAGATGTAGGCCTGTTTTCACGCCCACTTGTTTTCCACAGTGGGTTTAACGCTGGTCCTGCGAGCCCTGATCAAAGCTTCAATTGAGCCTCTGGATCAGGTTTCATTTAAATTCTTGTCTCTTTTAACAGCCCTGTTGCTGGTTTTAACACCCGCTAAGAGGGTAAGTAATTATCTGCCCTCTCTGTTGCTTCGTCATGCCTTAGAATTAGGCTGACGGGCAGCTCAGCTGATTTAAGACCAACCCAGCTTTTATGCCTAAAACATCACGAGCTCTTTTAAATCAAGAGTGATATCGTTGGAGGGGTTTTTTCCCCCCCACAGATCAGAAGAGGAAGCATCTTTTCATCTTCTCTGCCCGGTGCGGGCGTTTGACGTGTTACATAACGCACACAGCTGCAATGCGTTTCAAACTCAACAATGGTTTGTGCATTATAGAGATGTTTCTACAGGTCGCCGTTATCCATCCAGCGCTTATCACACTGGCTGTGTGAGGCCTTTTCTGAAGCCTACAGAGCATCAGATTTAGAGCCTCCTGTCAACCTCTAAGCACACTCGACCAGGGGTATCGCATCTTCGACTGCTCTGCATAATGGTTTGTCAATGCAGGACATTTGCACTGCGGCTGCATGGTCAACACCCTGCTCATTTATTCGCTTTTACCTACGTGATGTAACGGCTCGTTCCATGACACATTCTGTCCTTAGTGCTCTAACAGAATGAATATTGTTGTTCTCATGGAACTCTGTTTAAGCTCACTTCTGTCTGCATGCATTACAGTGTGAGATGTTGTTATCAGTCACAAGTCGTGTCTGTGATTTTGGTTATATTGTCACTAATCAGTTCATGATTATTGTTACCAATCAGTTCAATTGATTTATAATCAATTTATGGACATTAATCTGTTTATACTGTTCAGCCATGAACCAGTTGGTTCATGCCCCCCCCTCCCCCCCCCTCTTTTCAACTTCTTCTTCCCGTTGAAAGTTTTCCGGGGTATTCATGCTTTGTCAGAACGCATAGCTACACAACATGCGTCTGTGCATGGCACATAATTACGCGATGCGTAGTTATGCACATGGGGAGCTGAGTGACAAGACGTTTTTTGGGCAAGCTTCCGCTTCTTACTGTGTTCGAATGGACCCAGTGAGGCGAGGACCACATCGGCTTCGCCCTTTACCCACTAAAGCGAAGGCCTTAAAGGGCGAAGCTTATATGACATAGAACGTTGGTTACGTACTGTAACCCCAGATTCTATGAATATAAGCGTAGCCCTTTAAGCGTCGGGCCTCACTGGCTCCTAAATGGCTGAAGAAAAAAGCTATTTTGGGAGCCGATTTCCCGCTCTTAACGTAATTTATACGGACCGGGTAGGGCCCACACAGCGGGTGGGCGTGGACTAATTTTTTTCAGTGCTTATGCTCTGCATAACGGGATAAACCCACTAAAGCGAAGGCCTTAAAGGGCTACGCTTATATTCATAGAATCTGGGGTTACAGTACGTAACCAACGTTTTGTGTTGTGCGTTTCCTTGACTGATGAAGCCTTCTGGATGGAAGGTGAAACGTTTCAGCACAAAAAACGAAACTGTCCAGATGACCTGACAGATGTTGCAGACAGCGGCATGAACAACCTCATTTTGGAGAACTAAGAGTTGCTGTCCGACAGGACGGATGAGTTTCTTCATTATCATATTTTCAGAAACGACGTGCTGTAAAGTCCACTCTGAGCAGCGCAAAAAGCTGATAAAGATCGATTGTTGATTTTCAAATATTTAAATGCTAAAAACCTCAGATCATAAATATTTGAATAAATTATTTCAGTAATTTTAAGCAATTATTCAATTTAATGGTAATAAATTACAGAAGCATAATGCACCCACTAAGAAAACTTGATATAAAAGTGAAAAGTTTATTGTCCGATCAAATGTTTTATTGTTTTTTTTTAAACACGATTTCATAATCTTACCATGTACTGTCAACACAATCTGCTGGCTTCCTTAGATAGATAACTTTACTTATTGGCTTTTTTAAATTATATATGTTTCTGTTCAGTGTCCTGAGACGACTTCTCTTGTGACTTGGCTATAAAAATAAACTGAACTGAATAGAACGAGTTAATGGCTAGACCAAGTGAGGAAGACTAACTAACCATTATCATTAATTGTGTTTAATGTGCAACAGACGATTCATTGTTTACTCTGTTTTGTCTCAACTTTAAGTCCCTCCACAACTCTGATTCACAATAATACAGCCGTTCATGCAAACACTACTTTACATCGCTGTCAGTTGTTTGTTTTAGTAAAATGACAACATGTTTCTCCCCAAGTGTTCCAGGCTGCACAGGATGTGCTACTGCTAGCTGCTGGTGTTGCTTGTAAATACCCACATAATATAGAGCTGACAGCAGTGTAAAGGTTTGTCCAATAAACTGCTGTAACATTTCAAAGACTGGGAGTAGTTTAAGGACCGCAGCCCTTCACTTTGGTCTCAGCAGCCTTTGGACTAGCAGTTAGCTCATGGGTCCAGTCAGAAATAAACTCATTTCTCCAAACAAAGGCCCTTCAAAGAGGTATCTATAACAGGTAAGATATTAATTGTTCCTAAATTTAACACAGAACCTGTGAGATATTGTATTATTGGAGATAACCTTAGGAATGTTGTAGAGCCTGAGAAAACTCCACCATTTGAAGGAACCAAGAAAAAACATTGTACATTGATTACAGGAGCGCCTCTGCCTGCCTGAGGAGGTGAATTGTGGTGCTCCTGTGCAGAAAATCAAAATATCTCCTGGTGGGGGGGGTTATAAGGAGGCACTTTTCCTTTATTTTCCAGAACTGACTACAGGGTCCGCTTCTCCAGATCTGCTTGTATTCTGTGCATACATCTGTTTGTGAAAATAAATGTTGTTAAACCTGAAGGATGCCTGGTCTTTCCCTCCGATCGAACAAATCCGGGAAGAACGAACCGGCACTCGTTCTCAACAAACCCCATTTCAAAATGTCTGAAATATTTCTTTAGGTTTGATGTAAACTGCTAAGGAGCTCATTTTAGAGCTCTGCTTCAAAACCAATTTGTTTTTATCTCTGAGCAGGAAATCGTGACTTTAACGTTTATTTTTAAATTCCTTCTGTGATATTTTATTGTATTTTAGTTTTTTGTTGCCTATTTATCCCTCACCCTTAATACTGCGCTTTGTCTAATAAAAGTTGTTTTTCTTCAATATGCTTAAAGGAAAACGGCATAAATAAAATTCCTGACAAGTCCTAAATACATAGCAGCGTACGGCGATGCGTCCTAATTTCTCTCAGCAGACGTTTCAGATGAAGAACAGCAGGAATCACTGAAGTTAGTGGTGAACATTTTGCGGTTTGGCTGAAAACAGAACCAGGTTACCACAGAGCAAGTGAGCGGGACGTGCCTGACAGAGGCAGGTGTCTGTGGAGGCCCGGCCTGAGCAGCTTCCACGCCTTCGTGCTGGCCGACACCTCCTGACCTTCAGGCCAGGTGGGAGATGTGCGAACGTTGAGCGGGGCGTGGGTTGAGCACGTCCTCCGGATGGGGATGCGACTTGCGTGCGGCTGCAGCTCACACCTGCGCAGACGAGAGACGTTTGCCCTCACCCTTCTTCTGGTCAAATTACACCCCCCTTGGATTTGATTTTTATAACTAACAAGCAGTTTTGCTACTTTTCCATCCTCAAAAAGGCTGAACTTACTTGCTAAGTCTGATGGATGACAAGATACATTCAGGGTCCAAGTCTTTAGCAGTCTGTGGACACACGAAGACGTCAAGACATTTAAATCTAGGATAAATGTGACACAACTTGCTGTGTGAGGGGGCCAGCTGACCTCTTTGTGTGTGAACGTAAGAGATCTGCAGCCTCGGCCTACGCGCCCAGGACGGGTGGAGAAAGACATCCTGGACCAGCTTGATGAACCACCAGCTTTAAAATCTGAGCCACTGACTCCTGTCAACAACACGAAGGGACATTAGTACGGAGCTGCAAACACAGAACTGAACATATCAGGGATAAATTAACCACCTCGTCTTCGTTACTCGGTTTACGGAGTTTCTCTCTCTCCAGCTGAGACATGAAGAACTGACACACAGAGACAAAGGAGAGCAGAGGACTCACAGCTTCACAAAAAGGATCGTTTTTATTCAAGACGTTAAACAGATAAAAAGGTGTGTGAAGACAGCAGCACACTCCAGAATAGAGCGTTACTGACCGTTACAAGGACGAACACTGATCTGTAGTGTAGTGTTGAGAGATTAGCACCGAAATGAAAGAAAGGACACAGTCATCATAAAGGTTTAAAGCATAGAGACAGCAGGACACAGGACGTCAAAACTCACAGTGAGGAAACAGACAGCATGTCACCCAACAGGCTCCCCGCTGGGTTTAAAGCAGCAGGAAGAGGAAACCCCTAATAATCCTGCTTTCAGCCATAAATTATTCTGAATATCTTCTCTAATTTGCTGGATTTAATATTAGCAAAAACGTCAATTAAAGCGCTAGATATCGACCTTCAAAACCTGTACTTTGTGGTTACATTTTGGCAAATTAAACAAGCTTCTTTTTCTACCACTTTAATGCAACTTGGTCATGGTCGGAGACGTGAGCAGAGGTGTTCAGAAGAATAATTTTACAACGAAGCAAGGTAACGACGACGTGTCACAGCACTGGATCGGACAGCAGCTACAGCGAAAGCCAAACACCTAGAGCTGGTTCCATCAAAAACACCTTCAGGCTCACAGACGATCGAGCTTCTGAAGCTTCAGCGCAACTGGAACAGCACAGACCCACATCCAGTACGAGGAGGATGCATGAACAATCGTCACATTATCTCCACGAAGACGTTTACAATTAAAGTCTTTTATAATTCTCTAACTGCTACAAACATAAACTTTACAAGGATTAATAGTTAAATATGTACCTGCCGAGTGCCCACAAGGAGACGTATCTGCATGAATAAACTATGATCCACGGATTTTATTACATCTAAACCAATACTGGTCACCTGACTTAGACAAACAGATGGAGTACTAAACAAACTATTTATTGTTTGTCAACAACGCTCGTTATTCCACCAGAGGCAGTAGGCTACTCATGAACATCAGGATGTCCCGACCACGGCGGGTCGGGCACTGGAATGATTCAAAAGATACTGAATTGCTACGTTGCATAAAGAAATAAATAAAACAATACCTTTTAACATCAAACTGTCAAATGTTTTATGTACTTTTTTGATCAATGGACTCCTAAAGGCTCTAACAGGACAGCTTCTGCCTGAAACTTAAACATTTAAAAAATTAAAACTACAAAAAGTAAAATAATTCTGTGCGACTCTTTGAAAATATCTTAAACCAGTAAAACAAATGTATAATTAAAAGTGCAACACGGTAAACGTTAAAGCATTATTCACGCTCTGTGGCTGATTATGTACAACTCTTATCTAAGCAACAGATCAGATCTTTTAAAGTGGGGTTCTGTGAAGAGGTTCTAAATAGTTATCATCTTACCTGTTGTAGACAGCTCGTTGAACAAACTCAGTTTAAGAGTTACAAAGTTAAATTCTGACTGGACTGAAGAGATAAAGGCTAGTCTTAAACTAGACAAAAGCGATCATAACATAAATAATATGTTCTTGCAGGAAGCGTCCACGGCTGCACAGTAAGTGTTACAGCTAGCTGCTCCTGCTGCTATCTTGGCTAGCAAACAACCACAGAATTGTACAAAAATAACCTTTTACTGTGAAAAGGTCACCAAAGTTCAGGTTAATAAAACCGTGCAGGCATGAAGCGCTGTGAAGCATTAAAGTGTGGAGTTACTTTAATCCCCTGTGGCATTAGCCGCGCTCAGGCTAGCTGTTAGCTTGTCATTCCTGTTGGACCTAAACTGAATTTGTCCAAACTAAAGTTGTTCAAATATTTACAACAGGTAAGCTGTTGTGATGTGTCAACAGAACCCTGCTTTAAAAGATCTGAACTACTGCTTTAAAACTCAACAGTAATTGTGTGTAAACAATATGAAAAACTGACAGTGTGGTTTTGCTTCAAAATAAATAAATCAATCAAAACAGCACATTACAAGGTCGTTTGCTTTAGCTTATTATTCGTACACAGACACAATGTGAATATAATATTTAAATATTTATGTTGCTCAGCTGTGGACTTTAAATAATCCACGAGAAAATACGAGTTCAATAAGTAAACAGTTCCTGTAGGAAACACTCACACACCGAGGAGTTCGTTCTGCTCAGGTACATCAGAAGACTGTGGGGTTAGGGAGTACTGGAGGCTGAGAGTAAAACCAGAACCAATAAATGCTTGAAGAGCTAGCACCAGTAATGTTTGGAGCTTGAACACACACACACTCATTCACACACTCACGTCCACAGTCTCACTGGATGTGTTCGGTTCAGTCGGGGGGCGGCCCAGTCGGAGAGGTGGTGGCAGGTGGGAGGCTCTGAAGGAGCAGGGGGCTCAGTTTGGACAGCAGCCTGGGCCGGGGCAGAGCCTGAAGGGAGGGTAGCAAGGTGGAGAGGCTGGGGGGCTGCAGGGAGTACAGACCTGTCATATTGATGGAGGCCGGGAGGGGACAGGAACCGGCTGCACACATTGAGGAAGATGAGGAGGACGACGAAGAGGAAGGGGGTGACCGGGGTGGGTGGGAGGGTTTAAGGCTGTTGCCGGGAGACCGCAGGATGGAGCGGTGGTGGGAGGAGCGTCTCTTCTCCTGAGGCTTAGCATCTAAAGAGGGAGACACACACACCTGGTTCAGAGACCTGCAGGGACTGTCCAGAGGAGACACAAATGTCCCCGTCCCCCCCGACAAAAATCACGGATGAGATGAGCGCCCCGCCAAGTTATCTAGGGGAAACACTGATATTGTTGTACATTATTAGTGTTGTATGGGAACATACAATGACGACAACACATAGCACTTTATTATTTATTTATTATTATTAACGTATATCTTAGATCTTTTAGTTTTGTTTGGTGTTTATTTAGTGTACATTAGGGCATTAACAGAGTACTCGAGTAATCTACACATCGATTGCTAGGACATCTATCGAGGTTAAAAATGTAACATCGAGTATCCGTAGTGACGTCATATTATGTGACCACCGTATGACCGTAGGGGGCGGTGTTGCACTGATGCAGGTCACAGAGTATGGTGTAACACCGGGTCCAATCCACCGAACCAGAACCAGTTTCCTCTTGTTTCACAAACAAAAAGCAAAAAATATTAATCTCTAAACCTATTAAAAAAATCTATAAACATATTAATCTCTAAAACTAAACTTAATGCGCACCACAGCTGGCGGTGGTGCGGGGTGGTCGACCCCCCCCCCCCCCCCACTGTTAAGTTTCGTTTTTGACGTGCTGCGTTTTTCTTCACGTTTGCAGTTTAATAATAACTAATAGTTTAGTTTTTCTTGTGACTTATTTGCAGTATGATAAATGGTAGGAGCATAATATACGCTCCCAATGTTTTGTTGGTCTTTTTTTGTAAATAAGTACCTTTTTTTGCAGTTTTATTTATTTATTTATTTTTGTATCTTGAGATCTATGATGTCAACAAATACTCGAGTTCTACTTGGGTTTTATTATGTTAATGTCGAGTTTAAAAATTATATACTCGTTCAACCCCTAGTGTATATCTTCGATCCTTATTTACTGTTTCTTTTTATACTTAATATTTAGCTATTTTGGGGTGTAACTGGGACACTGTGTACATAATTTCGTTCCACCTCATGAACTACATGAGATGGGAATGACAATAAAGTTTAGTTGAACTTGAATTACTTGGCCAGGAAAAAAAAATAATAATTCAATTTAACTCATAAGTTCTTAAACAGTCTGTTACATCTTTTTTTTTTTTTTTTTGCACTAGACAAGAATGTAGTTTTCGAAAAACTACATTAACACTGTATTGAAAAAAAAAATGCCGCCAAGATGAACAGGTGAGATATTCACCTGTACAGTAACAGGAAGGGATAACAAAGAGGAGCATGTAAACAGAGCACGGCTATAAAGGCTAACAACAGACAGAAGAAGAATCTGACGATTCTGTAGATTATTTTGAGTCATTATCAGAGCGAGAGGAAGAAGAATCAGAGTTTAAACTAAACAAAGACCAGGGAGTTAAAACTGCACTTAAAAGTTTTATGTATTTTATATTTTTGTGATGATCAGATTATGTAAAATGATAAATACCTGTACATTTAATTAGTTTCAAATGCATTTTTTTCCACAGATGAATATTTTATTTGTTGATGATATTATCTGATCAAAACCGTTTAGTATTTTTAGTTGAATTTATATGCTGTGCTTTCATATATCTTTTCCTTTTAACTAACGTTGTTTTATTAAAATATTTTGATGACTGTGTTTTGGGTGTTTATTGTTACAGCACTGTGGTCAAAATGTGGTTGTTTTAACTGATTTTTAAATAAAGTTGACTTGATCCTAGCATGAACTCGGTAAAGTAGCTATGTGCTGATTGCTGCTGATCCAACCTGTTTGTGGAGGTTTGCTGAATCGTTCACCTGAGTAACTGAACCTCTGAATGCTGCAAAAGAGTCTTACACCAAATGCGAAATAAAAAAGTCTGAATACCTGTCCATATGGAAACACAAGTCTTTAGCCTAGTTTCTTAAAAACAAAATATGAAAATGTAAAGAAAGTGTATGAATATTTCCTACAGGTAGCTTATGTGGCACAATTTAGCTCTTGTCAGGCGTCATGGACCAAGACAAATAAAACAAAATGCACCAAACAGGATCAAAACCACGAGATGAGGTCACACTGGGGTGCCACAGGGCTCATGGTCACGTGTTTCTACACATCCAGGACATGAAAGTCTTACTTGGGAGAGTTTAGGTGGGAGATCAACTTACCCCTGACGGGCCCCAGTGTCTTGTTGCCTCCACGCCCAGCGGCGTGTGTGCTGTTGTGCTGTGTGTGAGCTCGAGGTGGGGGGCAGCCAAAGGTGAAACTCGGAGAGCTGTGCATCTTTGGTGAGGGGGTCTGGCTGCTGCTGCTGTTGCAGCGACCGCGACTGATGGCGTTCTCTGACGCCGACCCAGACAGAAAGCTGCTGCCAAATCAAAAACATGGAGCCTGTGAGCAAACTCTCTCTGCGGGACCTTCAGCGTCTCAGACACGTGCGTGAACTCACTTTTTGAAACTTTTTGGCGGTGACAACTTGCTGCCGTGGTTGTGCACCTTCGGAGGAGTGCGGATGTGCGAGTTCAGGCCTTTGGTGTTGCGGACGTGCTTCAGGATCCAGGCTCGGAGATTTGTGAGGCAGGTGTGCTCCGACAGAACGAGACGAGGCCAGGGGTTACACTCTGCCATGTCCAGGGCAGAGACGGCCACGGCACGTCCCACCTAAAAGACCACCGTAAAACATTTTAAAGAATAAGACAAACTACTTACAGTAAAACAGACAGAAACTACCAGTGATGTCCTACCTGCTCAAATATTTCCGGAGTGTATTTTGGAGGGAAGGATGGTGGTGGAGGAGGGCTTGCCCGGCCGTTGTCATGGCAGGCAGGTGGGATGGTGTTCATGGTTTTTCCTGTGTTATAGTTACACTCCAAAGTATAACTGATGAGCAGAAGAGAAACAACAAAGAAACTGTTACATTCTTGTTTATGAACCAAGAAGGGGAAAAAGCTAAACTCTTTACGGTCAGTAACTGATGGTGGAGCTCTTTATATAACAACCCCTACATGACATTTATAAAATACAGTGAAAAAAATATTTGTAATGGAGTAAACTACCTAAGATATCTTTGAAACTATTAGGGTTATTAGTAGGAGTGCACCGATCACAGTTTTCTGGCCGATCTCCGATCAACGATTTCTAAAAAGTCTGACCTGCCGATTCCGATATTGTTTTATAAGCGACACTGTCAGGTGTTAAGGTCACAAAGTACCTTCAATTTGCCAATATTATTTTATTGAAAAACATACACTTGAACAATATCTTAGATACAATACAAACTTGTTTTAACTAGTCATGAGGTAGTGCTCTGAAATATAAATGAAGTTTAGACAATTGTTAAAAAAAAATTAAAAAAAATCGGTAAAATCGGTTACTCATGCAAGTATCATCCGATTTCCCAAAATTAAGAAAATCGAGGCCCATAACCCATAGTTATTAGTATAATATTGTGCTTTTTGTAAAAAGACAAATCACCTCCATCTTAGGTGGAAATTGAAAAATAATACCTGTTTCTCAGTAGTTTAACTCAGCAAAAGATACACGTTTAAAAAAATTTACACAAAAAATCCTATTGTGATAAATATGTTGTCAATAGAATATCAAGTTAAAAAAAAAGAGATTTTTTTTTCCATGAGGCAGAGCTGACTCTAACTTTAAAAAGTGGATCAAAAATAAATAAACAACAGAAGACCTGAGGTTATTGAAAACAAGATTACTGCAGCACATTATGCAGCTGTTGGCAATCTATAATAAATAAATACAGCAATCTATAGCAATGGCCCAGACAAGCAAAGACCTTGTATAACCTTTGACCTTGATTTGTGACCTTGACCTTGGAGCTAGGGTGATGAAACGGGAATGCCGCACTGTCTAGTGATGATGCATATGTGTATCAAGTTCCATTAAATTTTCCTGAGCTTATCAAAGTTATGGGCGGGACAAAAGAAAGCTTACGGACAGACACGTCCTGCCTTTGACAAGCGTATAAAAATAAAAAAAATTTATGTAATTCGAGAAATTGGTTGCTAGATATATTTTCAAACAAGCACTTTTTAAAGTATCTTCTGGTTAGAAGCTTTACTAGATCTTCTCAAGGACAGTGTCTACCAACATCTCTATTATCTGCCCTAAAAATATAATGAAATTAAATATTAAATAAATATTAAAAAAATATATCACAACCAGTTTGACAAGACTGTCAACAAGGAAGAGGGCCAGCAATGGAGGAGGGGCGTACCAAAGAGACCATCTTATCACAAGCAGAACTGGTTTGTTCCACTTTGGAGTAAGCTGTTGGGGGAAGAATCAGTTTTGTTGTGTGTTTCCTCAACTGAAGAAGGCGAAACGTTTCAGCACAAAAAAAGAAACTGTCCAGATGACCTGACTGAAAAATGTTGGGTAAATGTTGGCTCGTCTTAAGCGCAGAGGTGACAGAGCCTTCTCTGTAGCAGGACCAAGACTTTGGAACGAGTTACCTCTGCTTGTCAGACAGGCCCCCTCTCTCGGTTTTCAAGTCCCGTTTAAAAACTCACTACTATTCAGTAGCCTTCAACACCAGAGGATCTGTGTTTTGATCCTGTACGATCCACACTGGTTAGTCGTCATTATCTGCATCGTTTTTATGTCTATATTTCTGATTTACTTCATTTTGTATTTTGCTTTGTGTGTTACCTGTTGTTCTGTCTGCACAGCACTTTGGTTGGCCTTGTCACTGTTTTAAGTGCTCTATAAATAAAATGGTATGGTATGGGTATCACAACCAGTGTTTCTGTTGGAAGGTCTGATTTATTTATACTTAAATAAAATGTGTGGAGGGACAGACGACCTGCAGACTCTGCAGACTGTCATTACTCGGCTCAAACAGACGCAGCATTAATGGTTAATGAGGACACATAGGAAGGGTTTATCCAGATGTATGGTGCTGAGAGATACATCTTTCACTGTGTACAGGAATGTGAATAAGTAAAACAAGTTTAGGAAGAGAACAAAGGGGCCAAGAAATTATACTGGCTGTACAAATGGTACCAAAGCCTTTAGGGTTATATCTCAATGATTGACAAATATGTAGAATAAAATAAAGCTGCCTAGATATTTCTTTATTTCTTGTTATAAGAGTATTCTCCCTTTCTTGGGAGAATACAAGAAAGCTCAAATTGATCAACTGGACTAAAAACTGTCTCTAACCCTACCACTGGACAAAATTATCTTTGAAGCCTAAGAAGCCCATTTTTATCAATCTTACCCCCCTTTTTACAGAATTTGAAGAATATGGACTTAAGCAGAGTGACGAATGCAGCTGATATGTTGTTAAAAGTGTGCTCTGTGCAGTGGAGTGAACAAAATATTTACAGTAGTTCTGTTCTGCACTTTAAATGCATTTAAAGACATCCATAGCACAATATCATAAGGGAAAGCACATCCAGCCATCCATTATCTTTTACCGGCTTCTTTCATTTTGGGTCACGGGGGTCGCCGGTGCCCATGTCCAGCAATCACTGTGCGAGGGGCGGGATACACCCTGGACAGGTCTCCAGTCCATCACAGGGACACAAAAAGACAAACAAGACAAACAACCATTCACTCTCTCACTCACACCTAGGGACAATTTAGAGTTACCAATCAGCCTAACATACATGTTTTTGGTCTGTGGGAGGAAACCGGAGTAGGGAAAGCACAAACGTAAACAAAAAACATTTTTTTTATTTTTTTTTATTTCCCTGGACATTCAGTCTATGTAACTGAATGTGGCACCTTAGTAGGCCTGTCACGATAACAAATTTTGCTGGGCGACTAATTGTCTCAGAAATTATTTCAATAAACGATAATATTGTTTGAAATTTGACAATAATTAGTAATTATTGTCAAATTTAAGAAGAAATGTTAAGTTTTGTGTGTAGTACCTTTTTTGACCAATGGATGGCAGCATAAGACTGTTTGAACTGAAGGATGGATAGTGAGGGAGCAAGCAGTGTGTGTCTCTAAGAAATATGGGAGGGAGACCCCTTGACATGACATGGGCAGTCTCTCTTCAGTTCTCAAAATGGCAGATGATCGGTGTGGTTGGAGCTGTTTAGCATAGCATTTGTCAAACAAAGCTTTTAATAAAAAATCAGTAAACAAGTTCTCAGCTTCTTTTTGCAGAGAAAAACAACTTTTTACACGAAGACACGGGTTTCTACCATGAATTTTGGAGCTTCGACAAGACTGAGGTTTTTCCCCGATGTCGGCCTGTTAGCTTAGCTCGTAGCTTAGCTTCTCAGCTTAGCTGCTTTTAATGATTCAAAAACGTGATTTTGGATCGTTAAAACTGATTTTGAAGAAAAGAGAAAGGGAAGAGTCAGTAAAGAGCACCGGAGTTGAGCCTTTTGTCATCCAGTGTCTTCAGTAGAAAGAGAGACACGAAGAAACGATAAAGCCGATAAATGAAAATGAAGTTTATAATTTTCATTTATCATGCGATTAATTGATTTATTGCGACAGGCCTACACCTTTAGTTTTAATTTTAGCTCTATATACTTTCAATTAACATGTACAGACCCCGCTTTATTTAAACTAAAAAAAGCTAAATTACCCTCAATGTGCCTCACTGCTTGTGAGTCAGGTTTAAATTGTTTTGGTGCATTTGCTGTTTTTGTAACCTTTAAAGAAAAAACATTCAATAACATGATGCTATTTTGCAGCAGTTATAGCATATTTAAATCAGGTCTCTTTTGTAAATGAGTCCCCAAGGCTCAGTGGGATTAACCTGTCTAAATAAAGGTTGAATGAATGAATTTAGTGTTACTTTACGCCACGTAAAGGGAAAGTGAAGTGTAACACTACAGAATAGTTTAGGATGTGTGAACCTGTGAAGCAGCCCGATAGCCTTGTGGACGGCGACTCGGCCGCTGCCTTCTTTAGACTGCCCGTCCCTCTTGTCCCGAGCGTACATGTTCTTTTCTGAAAAGTTGCAGCCCAGGAAATCAAAGTGAGCAGAATTCACAGCGATCAGTCTGGGATACAGCAAATTCTCCACCTGAAAAACAACAAAAGCAAAACACAAAGCAACTTAAGAGAAACGTAACAGTTTTAGGATGCCTTTGCTGTGAATGACAGATTCAGATTAACATTTCAAGGTCAAATTGTTTCAAATCTAAGATTTTTTTTTTTTTTTTTGTTGCTAAAAATAACTTGAAGAAGTTATGACACATTTCCAAAAATACTACAAGCAGAGGGGGGATGATCAGTTTTACCTGCTGGCTCTCATCAGGAAGGTTATTTCCATACATGAAGCATCCGCGTTTAGAGGCGTGGCCGTGTAGGTCCACGTAATATGCCACCCCTCCCTCCTGGGGGGGCACAGATTCCTCCACCTGCGGTGCAGCTACGTCTTCAGTAGAAGGAGCTACAGACTCTGAGGAGCCTGGAGAGCTGTTCTGGTCTCCTTTTCTCGTCTCTGCGGTGGGCCAGGTGCTCTCCATCACCATGGTAACCTGGGCTTGGGCGGGGTTTCCATCTTTCTCTGCGTTGCGTTGGTTCAAGCTGGCTTCGAGGGGAGTGAGCGGTGGAGACTGATGCTGCTTTGTGGACTTATTGTTGAGGGGAGTGAGCTGTGTGTGAGGGGTGCTGTTACTGTGTGTGTGGGAGTGTGTGTGTGTGTGGTGGTAGAGCAGCAGTGCTTTGGCTGCATAGATGGAAGGGTGAAGCTCAGGGCTGGGGTTCAAGTATTGTCTGTTCAAGTTCACGCCTCTGGAATCAGTTCTGAAACACAAAAACATTACAACTTTTATTGTTTATTGTTCTTCATTACAGAATGTAAAAGAAACACTGATCCACACGTTCTCCCTCAACCCCGAACATAACAACAAAAAAGCAAGGCATCCAGACGTAACGTCACTGATATCTCTAAAGGGCTTGATAAGCTCAGCTCAAGTCATTTGGAGCTTGTTGACACGTTCATATTCAAACTATGTTTGGATGAGCTGCACCACACTGTCCAGGAGTCTGCAGATTATACTCCAGGGCAAAAATGAAACTGTCAACTATCTATAAAGAAAATAAATAAAACGAAGAAGAGCACAGTTCATGCTCAATAATCCAGGTAAAAATCCACCAATGTTCAGTCAGGTCATCTGGACAGTTGAGGACGGCTCCTCAGATTGAAGAAGTCCTTTGGATGAAGGACGGATCGTCTCAGAAAAAAAGAAACCGTCCACATGGCCTGACTGAACATTGTTGGAAAACAAAGAGGAGTTTTGAATGACCGTGATACGGTACTTTTTTATTTCCTTGTGTTTTCTGAGTGATGCGTTAGAAGCAAATATCACTATATTTCTTTAAATAAGAGCCCTTATTGGCAGCACGGTAGCTCAGATGGTAGAGCCGTCACCTCTCAGTGAAAAGGTCACCAGATCAAATCCCAGCCAGGGGCCTTTCTGGGTGGAGTTTGCATGTTCTCTCCGTGCATGCGTGGGTTTTCTCCGGGTGCTCCAGTTTCCTCCCACAGACCAAAAGCATGCATGTTAGGCTGATTGGTAACTCTAAATCAGGGGTCACCAACGCGGTGCCCGCGGCCTGGTAGCCCACAGGGACCACGAGTTGCCCATGGGGCATGTTCTAAAAATAGCACTATGATCAAGGAGCACCGTCTAAAAATCGTCATTAATTATATTTTTTAATTTAAGAAATAACATTTGCAAGGATGTATATTTGAAATGAAAATAATTAATAAAAATTTTAAAAAGAAATAGTTTTACACATACAGTTTTAGCAATCTTGTCTGGGGTCAAAGTTCAGAATCATTCATAGACCACTCCCATCTCTGCAGCGGTGCAGCTACAAGCAAGTTTTACCTCCAAGATGTTAAAATGGCAGAAAAACGTAAGAAAACATGTTCACAGTGACTGGGAGGAAGAGATCTTTTTACAGTTGTGAAAGACAAGTGTGTCAGTGTCTCATTAGTGGGCTGTGGTGACAGCAAAACAATGTGGAGTGACACTTCACCAGCTAACATGTTAGCTTCAATGCTAACTAGCCCCCTGGTGACTTACAACAGGCAGAAGGTCAGAGCTAGAGGCAGCACTGAGCATTAAATGGCAGACGATTTTCATGAGGCATTTTCAGATGAGGTCTTGAAAAAAGCAATGATGAAATATGTGAAAAATAATTTATTTAAAAGAGTAAAAGATGCAAATATAATGCTGTATAAATAAAGTATTATTATTATTATTATTAAAAATGCATGCATATCTAAGGATCATTACTAATGTCACATGATTCATTTAAAAATGTCAGTTTGTTTTTTATATTACTGATCATTTGTAGCTGCAAGTTAGAGTTCTTCTGAAGTGTTATAAACAAAACAGTTTGTGCAAACAGAGCTTGAGTGGAAGATTTTATTGTTAATAGGTTATTAAAAATGTTATAGAAGTTGTTATGGTAATAGTAAAAGGCATATTTTGAATGGATGTTACAAATGTTATTCATTCCTACAAAACAGTTAATTAAATATTTATAAAATACACAGAATTTCAAATGTTACTGATTGAGATTAACATAAAAGAAATGGTTATCTATGTTTAAATATCAGTTTTCTGCTGTAGTAAATCATCCGTTTGGCCCCGTTTGTTTGGGACTGGAGCCGGTCTCTGCTGCTTTTGGGTGAAGGCAGGGGACACCCAGGACAGGTCTCCAGTCTGTCCCAGAGACACAAAGAGACAAACAAACATCTACACTCCCACTCACAGCTAGGAACAATTTAAAGTTGCACAGAAGAACCAAAAAGGATTCAATCTAAGTTCTCGACTGAGAGTTCTAATCACAAATTATCACTAATAATTGATCATATTTATCATGCTAAATCCTTACTGATAATCACTGTGGGGAGTCTTTAATAATACAGATCAGATCAGATGTGATCAGGCAGTCATATATTCACATGTATGTACATGTATTATTATTAATACTATAATTAAAGGTGAGCCGTGCAAATTTGTTTGGATCAAACAAGTCGCCCTTCGTGTCATTCTGTACCACTGACGTAGCGCTCAGTCTCAAACAGGCTGGTGACCTCTGCTATCAATTGTCCCTAGGTGTGAGTGAGAGAGTGAATGGTTGTTTGTCTCGTTTGTCTCTATGTGTCCCTGTGATGGACTGGAGACCTGTCCAGGGTCTCCCCCACCTCTCACACAGTGACTGCTGGACATGGGCACCAGTGACCCCCCCGCGACCCAGAAAGGAAGAAGTGTGTAAAGATAATGGAGGGATGGAAGGAAGAGTCCTTGTTTTTCATTCTCTCTGAGGCCACTGTTTAAATGAGTTTTATAGTTGAACAGTCACTGTGCACGTACAAAGTCTGCACTCTGGATGTGAAGATTAACTAGTTCATAGACTGGTTACTCTACTCATCTATATGAAGGTTACCCAGTTCATGGAGGCACACATACAAAATGCTGTTAGATCAGTAGATCAACACAGATGCATTGATTTATTAAGGTTGTGTACTAACAAAATCTGATTAATTTACATATTCAATTTAAAAAATCTTCAAACTGATTTATTATTATATATCTCAACCCTAATTAATGACAGAAAAGTTAAAAAAAACTGTATCTACTGTAGCGTTTGTGCATGCAGAACATCTTTCCTGTACTTGTTTTTAGTGGAAAACTTCCTTGCTGTTTATTGTTAATATACTGTCTGGCCAAAAAAAAGTTGCCACCAAAAAAAAAAAAAAAGGTCACACTAATATTTCATTGGACCTCCTTATCTTTGATTACATCATGCATTCACTGTGGCATTGTCTCGATAAGCTTCTTCAATGTCACTAGATCTATTTCCATCCAGTGTTGCATTAATTTTTCATCAAGATCTTTCATTGATGACTAGACACTAGTCATGATGGGTGCATCACTTCACCTGCCTCTTCTTACCCTGATGCACCCATCACTCTGGAACAGGGTAAATCTGGACTCATCAGACCACATGGCCTTCCATTGCTCCACAGTCCAATCTTTATGCTCCCTAGCAAATTGAAGCCTTTTTCTCTCCAGTTAGCTTCACTGGTTAGTGGTTTTCTTAAGGCTACACAGCTGTTCAGTCCCTTGAGTTCCTTCACATTGTGTGTGTGGAAATGTTCTTACTTTCACTATTAAACATAGTCCTGAGGGCTGCTGTTGTTTTTCTTCTATTTGATTTCACCAAACATTTAAGTGATCACCGATCACGATCATTCAGGATTTTTTTCCGGCCATATTTCTTCCTCGAAGACGATGGGTCCCCACTATCCTTCCAGTTTTTAATAATGCAATGGACAGTTCTTAACCCAGTTTTAGTAGTTTCTGCAATCTTCTAAGATGTTTTCTCTGCTTGATGCCAATGATTTGACTCTTCTCAAACAGACTGACATCTTTTCCACGACCACGCGATGTGTCTTTCAACATGGTTAAGAAATGAGAAGCAACTCATTGCACCAGTTGGGGTTAAATAACTTGTTGCCAGCTGAACGATAATCACCCATGCAGTAATTATCCAATATGAGGCTCGTACCCATTTGCTTAGTTAAAGTTGTGTTAGTTGTGTGCTTCACTGCCATGAGCACACAGCTGCAGGCCTAAACTACATCTACTATAGAGCAGTGGTCCCCAACCTTTATTGCGCCACGGACCGGTTTAATGTCAGACTATATTTTCACGGACTGGGGTGGGGGGTGCGCTGAGGTCCTATCCCAGAGAATTTTGGATAAAGTAGATGCCATTTCCTGCATTCTGGTGTATTTTACAAAGGTTTATTACAGTAGATTAACATGAAACAAAAGATGTAAACTCATTATTCAAATGACGGGCAGCACAGTGGCACAACTGGGAGAGCTGCTGCCTCTCAGCGAGCAGGTCCCTGGTTCAATCCCCGGTCCAGGGGCCTTTCTGGGTGGAGTTTGCATGTTCTCTCCGTGCATGCGTGGGTTTTCTCCGGGTGCTCCGGTTTCCTCCCACAGACCAAAAACATGCATGTTAGGCTGATTGGTAACTCTAAATTGTCCCTAGGTGTGAGTGAGAGAGTGAATGGTTGTTTGTCTCATTTGTCTCTGTGTGGCCCTGTGATGGACTTGCGACCTGTCCAGGGTGTACCCCGCCCCTCGCACAGTGATTGCTGGACATGGGCACCAGCGACCCCCGTGACCCAAAATGGAATAAGCGGGTAAAGATAATGGATGGATGGATATTCAAATGACTGCAAAGTGTTCGTAATGCAAAACCGCTGCAGCTCTGCAGGTGAGCGGCGTTCACTTCAGGACAAAGTGAATTTGTCAGTTGCTTAATTGTCAGTTATAAACATCAACATTAAAAGAAACAAACATTTGAAATATATCAGTCTGTGTGTAACGAATACAAGTTTCACTTTTTGAACGGAATTACTGAAATAAATCAACCTTTTCACAATATTCTAATTTTATGACCAGCACCTGTATTTCAAATTGACTTTTAATCACTTTATGTGATTTATAAGTGTATTACGTGCAGGATCATTTCTCATTTAATTAGTAGATCCCACACCGGGGGCAGCTGAGCCTCGTCATCCTCCTCCCTGCTCCGCAGTGATTCACACATCAGATTGTTCACAAAAGCGCAGGAACTTATGCGTAGTGCAAAACTTGAATTATATTTGTGTTTTTTAATAAAATTGCCCATGACTTTGAACTTGTAGGGGCGGAGATTTTTCTTTTTAAGAGCAGAAGAAGAAATGCGAAGGAACAGCTCTGATGTGAATTCAAAAAAGTTCAAGACAAAACCAGCTCTGATGTGATGTTAGGAAACTTTTTTTTAAATGATAGTTTTATTTAATTAATTGTTTGTCACTCTTTGTCAGGCGGGTTGAAAAATATGCAGTGATCCTTCGCGCTCCTCCTCCTGTCTGCTCCAGACCACGCAGCAGTGTTGCCAGGTGAGAAATGTAGGATTATCGTACTAGAGACATAAAATTATCATATTTTTATAGAAATTATCGTACACCCGTCATAACCAAAATAACAAATCTATTGATGCACTGTAGTAGTGATGGGTCCACTTCCAGACCAGCTCTGCTTCTTCTTCTTTTCTTTTCCTCACGCATGGGGCGAGCGCAGCGGACTATTCAGCCAATCATGGCCGTTGTTCTGAGGCAAACGCAAACACATCACTCGTAGGTCACATTTAGAAAAGCACGATTGGCTGGAATTGCCAACCAATCGTGCATCTGTTTGCGGACACAGATGCCTTCAGGGTTCACAAAAAAACTCCAACAGACAGTTGCGAGAGGCTGATAACAACTGACAACAACCACACATTCACGGAATGGTCAAATTATCGTATATTTGGCCTTGTTTGGGATTATTGATCGTACAGAGGGCAAAATTGTCGTACAAATACGATAATTATCGTACACCTGGCAACAATGCAGCGCAGCTAAATTACTCCACCCGAACGGGGTAGAACCAATCTGCGCATGCGTCTAACAGAAACTGAAACTTACCACTTGCGTACTTGACATGCGTCAAGAGTGAGTCATTGACAGATGTGGAGGAGATAATCCGGTGATTTTTCAAAATAAAAGTGGTTTTTTTGTTTATTTTGTATTTTTTTGGTCTCAGTGGGCCCGGTATAAATTGACCCACGGCCCGGTGGTTGGGGACCACTGCTATAGAGGGTAACTCTTTAAATTCACTCCTTTGACCTTCAAAAGACCAGCAAAATGTTGAAAATATGAGTTCAGTAAGCAGACAGCTTTCTGTAGTGGCATGATTTGATCAATTCCACGTACAGAAACATAGTCAGTACCCCTAACCAAAGTGTGAGTCAGGAAAGAAACGAGATTCAGTAAATGTGGTGGCTCTGTGTCAGTATTTCTTTAAACGATGTCTAAGCGTACAGAGAACCCTCCCAATCTGAGGTGTTTCGTTAATGTCCCTTCACTGTCAGCTGTAAGGTTTCACTTTGTACAATTTAATCTTCCAGTAATGATTTTTAACAACGCATTTCAATGTGAGAATGTAATTTGACTATACGGCCACTGAGTATTATTGACTGAGGCTTTTTTTTTAACAAACTAAATATTTTAATTTATAAACTCCAGCTTTATTTTACATGCATTGTGACAACAGGTGCACATAATGTTCAACTCTCACCTGTAGTGTCCTCGGACGACTCCGTCCGGGTTGAGCATGGGTATGAGCTTGAACACAAACATGTTGCGCAGCGTGTGTGCACGTGGGTCATCTCTTCTCAGGACGAAGTTGAGGAAACCGTTAAACACAAAGGACGAGGGAGTTTCCCCAGGATGCACACGACTGCTGAGGAAAAACACCTGCACACACGAACACGCACAGCATGGATGAGCCTCTTTTACCACGTTAAAGCGACTGGACACCACGTTCAAAAGTCAAAGACAGTATTTGGATGTAGCGATGATACGATACCCTCTTGCCAGAGAAGCGGTGAGGTCTTGGAGTGTTGGTGTCTGGAAACAGCTTTGGCAGACGAGCTTCTCTCTCATCCTTCATCCCGCTGCAGTTAGTCACAGTGAGGAGGTCCACCCTTTTGCCATCTAGAGAGTGACACAGCAACTCCCTGTGGTAATACACAGTGCTTGATGCACTGACAAAAGGAAGACAATAACACAGCAACATTTTATTTCCTACTTTAAAATAAAATCTGTCAATAATTTAAACACGTGAGGCTTTTTTGTTTCATTTGTATGCGTTACCTGCTCGGACTGAGGTGAACAGCATTGGGGTAGCTCTCATCCAGCTGCTGCAGCATCTCCTGGCACTCAGTGTAAGAGAATGGGAAGCAGAAGGAGAAGTAGGTGGTAGCCCCTCGCACCTCCAGCAGCCGATGGGTGAAGGTGAGGATGAACTGGTTATCTACAATCTGGAAAAGCAGCAGAAGAAAAAAGGAAAAAGAAAGAAGCATGTTATTAATCTGGCTCCTCGTGATCTTGCTCACAGATGGTGGATCTACCTTAGTTGTGGGTCTGTCTCGAATTCTCTCCCATCGGTTTTTGCCAGGCAAAGTGAGTACAAGAGGAGCCATCCCCTGGCTATAAAGCTTCCTCTGATTATTCATGTTCATCACATTAATCTTTAGCAGTTTCCCAGGCGGAGCGCCTCTCATGCTGAAGTAAAACCACGATCTGAAAAACATCAAGTAGCAATGGTTATTTATAGCACGTGATCCAAACAACAAGGACGAAACATTTAAACAGCGAGTGTAGTCACCTGTTTCCATTCTCGTGCTCCGTGCCAGCACAGTCTGGCTGAGTCCACACGTTGAACTCGTAGTCGGGGGTAAGATGTGTCCCTGAGGTGGAACACCCAGCGGAGGCTGCGTCCGAGGGGGGGCTAGAGCTGCCCTTCTCCACCTTCTCCACTCGTGCTAGGTTCCCTGAGTCGAACTTGGAGCTAAACACAATGTTTCCAAAGCGAGCCTCCATGATGCTGCGCTCTGCTCACTTTTCTTCTTTCGGGTCAGTTAAGTGCCGGTCAGCTACATGACACCGCTGACCTGTCAGAGGAAAGACGTGTGCTGTTATATCACTAACAAAACTAATCAAACTCAAACCACATATTCAGATTAGACAGATGGCACTTTTTTCCCTGAGGATAAACATTTTGCACAACTACCAGGCTTGTGTCCATTTTAAGCAATAAAAACAACCGCACGCAGCAAGTTTAATGTCCACTTTTTCAGCACTGCTTTCATGTCGCTTCAACTTATTTTCTACTATGACACTAATCATTTACCTCGAAGTACCTCTATTATTTCAACAATCTTTAGCATTATTATCACCAATTCAGCTGCAGAGTAAATAGAAGAGCCAAAAACTTGGATTTAAAGACAAATTGTAGCAATAAAACCCCCTGGTTATGGTACTAATTTAGAATGAAACATTACAGGACCAGAAAAAGACAACTGAAGCCTTTGAATTTTTTTTATGGACATTTAAAAGTGTAGTGAACTTAATCTGGTGTCACGACTAAGCCTAAGGTCAAAACCCTTGACCTTAAGAACCTTGTGGGACAGAAACTGTCATTTCATTGATTTGAATCCAGAGATACAGGTTCACCCATCCTGAGACTCTCTTTCTTGATAATCAAGTGAAAGAACACTCTCTTTTTTATTATCATTACTATTTTACAGATGTTGATAATCAAAGTGTCTTAGTTCAAACCATTTTAGATGTTGCAGTGAACTAATCGATTTTATTAACTGTGTAATGATTTTTAATTCTCATGCAAAGTTAGAACTCATGTTAAAGCTGTTACAAAGTAATTATGCATTTTCTGATTTTCTGTCTTTGAATGAGCAAGTGTAAGTTGGTCCAAGGTTGGAGTCAAACGCAAAACAAGTTGTTGGAACGAACTGTCATGTTTTTAGAATCCTCTCAGACGTAAATATAGAGGTTTTGGCACCTGTTTCTAAACTCGCCAAAACAAAACTCTCTCTGTCTGTGAGAACATTTCTGATCTGTCCCATAACAATTCTTGCTGCATTCTAACCTTTTACGTCACAAAACACACCCCGTCTGGTCGGTTCTGGCCAATGGGAGACTCCCGTATGAACCGGGAAAAGGGCTCTTTAAAATGTCGGTACTTCCTGGTCTAACGGGTTCTGTGAGGGTTCTGTGAGGGTTCTGTGAGGGTTCTGTGAGAGTTCTGTGAGGGTTCTGGGAGCCGGGAAGATCCTGACATGACAACAGAGCTCTTCCGAGTTCCATGGGATTATAACATTTTCCACTGAGGTGAGCTGTGAGGGACAAAAAGCTGCTACTCCGGACGAGTAACAGCATCCTACGGAGACGCTGAAGGGTGCGTTAAACGGAATCTCGCCTGAGACATCTCCAGGTAAAAGAGTCGATTTCACCACCTAAGTGTACCGTAAGGAGAAGCTGAAGAAAGCCCAGAGAGTGCCGTTCTGTTCACACTCCCTCAAACCCCATCTTTTACTCTTCTTTAAACTTCTTTCCCATCTTTAAACTCTTCTCTCAAGTAGAAATTCTTCCAGATATTTAGAAATGTCTGTGTAAAGTGCTCATCCACATCCGTGTGGGTAAAAGATCATAGTTGTACAGTTTTCATAAATGTCTGTGGTGAAGCAACGGAAAAATCATGGCCGTATGATTTTTCCTGATTGATTGCTTATGTTGTTATTTTCATAATTTGCCAAATTAATGTAAATGTTTGATGTTAAACTTTGATTCTGTAAATAAATGACCGCATTCATTTTGATGGGTCAAAGATAAATGACGTCTCACGTTTGCATTTCATTAAATTCAATGCACGTTTTATTCAGTTCAGAAAAATGAGGAATCCGCGTTAATTGATGAATATATCTGAGCATCTGTTCATCTACAAAAGACCAACCTCTCAATCTTTTAGTTATCTAAAATAATATGACAACTGAACCACAGTATTTAATATTCATGTACATGAAAATAGAAAAACGCAGACGCCTATTTGTACACTGGTTTTTAAACATAAACTACAATTATGACTGACATTTAACAACATTACGTCCGAACTATCAGAGCTGACTTGTCTGCCATCTTGGTTCCAACTCGTGGATTTGTGATTTGCTGCCTAGAAGGGCCAGCCCCTAAAAAATAATAATAATAATAATAATAAATAAAATATAGTTATTGGACAGCAGGTTGGAATAATGAGTATGAATCTTGTATAGACTTTTACTTTGTTTTAACCACATATAGACTAAAAAAAACTATTTGATTTTATTAATCAGCACTTGTTTTTTGTAAAGCACAGTGTTGACATGATATTATTATTTTCTGCAGTAACAAACCCAATTACAAACCTAATTACTAGCCAATGTTTAAACAGTGACCAATTTATATTTTTCTAACCATTAAAAAAGCTGGAGCATTTTCAACATTCATTAAAGAATGTTTCCTGAACATTTCATGGCAATATCTGAAACAAAAGTTGAAATAAAGCTGGTTTCATATTTTTTGTTCAATCTCAGAATTTGACATTTTAAAACTAACTTTCTTTTTCTTTAACCTAGTTTCATGATCTTTCATTTACTTTATCACAGGAAACTAATTTAAACATAAACCTCTTAATAGTTGTGTGAACATACCAAGAAAATTTACCCTTTTTACTGCATGTTTTATACAAATTATAAAAAGGTGTTTAACGTGGGGCAAGTTTTACATTGTGATTCAGTTCTAATTCTTCACTGATTAAAAAAAAACAAGAAAAGATATAATCACGCATGCTCAATAATCCAGGTAGATCAATCTAATAAGGTTAAGTCAATAAAAGAACAAAAACAGCTTCCCATTTCAAAGTCAACACAAAACAGCGCCGCCACGAGGCTGTTCAGAAAACTGCAGTCGTGTCCAACAAAACCAACAATGTGCACGATTTATTTAATCACAGCCGGACATACATACGACGCTACATTTGTTTTAATCTCCATTATAAAACCGTGACTGCAGCTTTGCACAGGAACAATGTCCGTGTTTAAAAATAACAACAAAATGAGCCGAGGTTCCGAGCAGAGGGGGCGTGAAGCCACAGCGTTTGGCTCATGAAATGCTTTCATTTTATTTACCGTCCATGACAGACACTTAAACGCAACACGGTGCTTTGTGTGCTTTCCTCGCAGATTTAACCGTTAATGTTAGCTTCCTTAGCTAGCATCCGTCTCCAAGCTACCGAGGCTAACATAGCAACCAAACCAGCAGCCGTCGTAGCTCTAAAATGAACACTGCGTTCACGAAAGTACGATTTTATGTCTTTTACACCTTCGATATATTTGGTTTAGTCATGTTTCTGCGGGTGAACACATGAACTGACAATCTTACCGGGTTATTTTCGATCGATGTCCATTTTTGTTGTGAACGTCCTTCCAACCATCACTGCTCCGAGTGCTGCGTTCAGGTTCCGTGTGCTGCGTTCAGGTTCCTCGGGGAAAATGCGACTGGAATTTTCTTGTGCACGCAGCGGAATGTGACCAAATTAAATATATAAATAAATACACAGTAATTAAGTGTATCATTTAATTATTCAGCACATCATTAAATCATGAAATATACAACTAAATTATTAAATATACAATTTATTAATGAAATGTCCCATGAAATAAATAAACGTACCTTAATTTATTAAATCTCAGGATGGTTTTAGACTCTGAGTTTAAGTTTAATAAACAAATCAACTCTGTTCTGCAGAAAAGCTTCTTCCTGTTAAGACAGATAGCTAAACTTAAGTCAGTGTTGTCCATCTGACCTTGAAAAACTCCATGCCTTTATTCCTACCCCACCAGACTACCGTGACACACTGGGGCCAGCCAGGCCTTGCACGTCTCCATCTCATCCAAAATGCTGCTGCTCGGCTTTTAACTGGAACTCGTAGGTTTGAGCATATTACACCAGTTTTGCCCTCCCTTCATTGGCTCCTTATACAAATAAGAATTGATTTTCAAATACTCCTGCTAACATCCTGATGCATGCTCAATAATCCAGGTAGAAAAATCTAAAAAAGTTAAATCTGGTCCTCTGGACATTCAAAAAAACCCAAAACAAAGCACAACGACAAAAAATGTAGAAACGTTTCGTCTCTCGTCCGAGAGACTTCTTCAGTCTGAGGTGCTGTATTCAGCTCAGTCTCTTAAATAGCACCTTCTCAGAGTGGATCAACCAGTTTTGCTGCTGACAACCAAAACCAGCTGATCACATGGTCAAGAAGGACCATCAGCCTAACAATGGATCATTAGCACACTGATGGCTGTTTATTATTCACAGAGGGCTGAGTGATACTAGCAATCACAGCATTGTAAGAGGGGGACAGGTGAACCCGGAGGCCTCCACTCCTGTTTAATGATGGACGGTTTCTTTTCACAAAGATGGCCTCCTTTACTCCTCTCTCAAACCATCGTTCCTCTCTGTCCAGGATGTGAACATCTTCATCCCTGAAAGAGTGACCGCTGGCCTGGAGCTGAGTGTAGACCGCAGAGTCCTGGCCTGATGATTTTGATCTTCTGTGCTGGTCCATCCTTTTGGCCAGTGGCTGTTTTGTTTCCCCGATGTAAGACTGATCACCCTCCTGACACTGAACAGCATACACAACATTACTCTGTTTGTGCCGGGGAACTGGATCTTTGGGATGAACCAGTCTTTGCCGTAATGTATTTTGGGGTTTAAAAGCCACTGGGACGTTATGTTTAGAAAATAAACGTCTCAGTTTCTCTGATACTCCCTCAACATATGGAATGACCACTGGTCTGGTTCTGGGTTCCTCCTTTTCACCTGTTGGCTGACTGGAGTCCTGTTTGGGTTTCTTCTCTGCTTTTAGGAAGGCCCAGTTAGGATATCCACATTGCTCTAGAGCCTGTCTTGTGTGGGATTTCTCCTTCTGCCTGGCTCCCGAGCTAGTGGGGATGCTGTCTGCTCTGTGATACAGAGTCCTGATGACTCCTAACTTGTGCTCCAAAGGGTGATGGGAGTCAAACTGCAAATACTGGTCTGTGTGGGTGAGTTTGCGGTACACCTCAGTTTGCAAATGTCCTCTATCAGAGACTGAGACCTCACAGTCCAAGAAAGCACCAAGTAGAATTCCTCTGGTGGAGATGATCACAGCTACTGAGTCAGCCATCCGCAACAACAAAATGAAAGAGGGTGAAGCAGAACAGCTCAGAATCAAAGTTTCATCCTGCCTCAGCAATGCCAAACCACCACCTTCCAACATCAGTAGAGAGGAGAGGGACGCACTCACCACTCTTAGCAAGGACAAAAACATCATCATTCTCCCAGCAGACAAAGGAAGGTGCACAGTGATTTTGAACCAGAAAGACTATCATGAGAAAGTTATGACACTCCTTAGTGACTTAAACACTTATGAACCTCTGAAAAGAGATCCAGGAAGTGGTTACAAGAAGAAATTGATAGATTGCCTGAAAATTTTGGAGCAGGACAAGGCTATTGACCGTTTTCTGTACCACAGACTGTACCCAGGGGAGGCCACACCTAGTCTGTATGGTTTACCTAAAATCCACAAACAAGGTGTACCTTTAAGACCAATTGTTAGTATGATTAACTCTGTCATTTACAATGTTTCCAAATATCTGGCATCTGTACTCATCCCTTTAGTTGGCAGCTCAGAACACCACATACAGAACACCATGGACTTTGTGGACAAGGTGAGGGATGTCATCATGGAGACTGATGAAACAATGGTCTCTTTTGATGTCACATCACTCTTTACGTGCATTCCTGTTGAGGATGCAGTAGAGGTGGTCAGTTTTAGATTAAAATCAGACACCACTCTGAGCAGCAGGACCACACTTTCCACAGAACAACTGTGTCAACTCTTGAAACTGCCTGCAGTCAACCTACTTCACATATGGGGAGCAATATTATAGGCAGAAACATGGGTGTGCTATGGGGTCTCCAGTTTCTCCTATTGTTGCCAACCTGTACATGGAGGAGGTAGAAAAGAGAGCCTTGACGTCCTTTTCAGGGACACCACCAAGTCATTGGTTCAGGTATGTTGACGACACCTGGGTTAAAATTAAATCTCAGGAAGTCCAACATTTTACTGACCACATCAACTCTGTGGATAAATACATCAAGTTCACACGAGAAGATGTAAAAAATGGCAAGTTGGCTTTCTTGGACTGTGAGGTCTCAGTCTCTGATGGAGGACATTTGCAAACTGAGGTGTACCGCAAACCCACCCACACAGACCAGTATTTGCAGTTTGACTCCCATCACCCTTTGGAGCACAAGTTAGGAGTCATCAGGACTCTGTACCACAGAGCAGACAGCATCCCCACTAGCTCAGGAGCCAGGCAGAAGGAGAAATCCTACACAAAACAGGCTCTAGAGCAATGTGGATATCCTAACTGGGCCTGCCTGAAAGCAGAGAAGAAACCCAAACAGGACTCCAGTCAGCCAACAGGTGAAAAGGAGGAACCCAGACCCAGACCAGTGATCATTCCATATGTTGAGGGAGTATCAGAGAAACTGAGACGTTTATTTTCTAAACATAACGTCCCAGTGGCTTTTAAACCCAAAATACATTACGGCAAAGACTGGTTCATCCCAAAGATCCAGTCCCGGCACAAACAGAGTAATGTTGTGTATGCTGTTCAGTGTCAGGAGGGCTGTGATCAGTCTTACATCGGGGAAACAAAACAGCCACTGGCCAAAAGGATGGCCCAGCACAGAAGATCAACATCATCAGGTCAGGACTCTGCAGTCTACACTCATCTCCAGGCCAGCGGTCACTCTTTCAGGGATGAAGATGTGCACATCCTGGATAGAGAGGAACGATGGTTTGAGAGAGGAGTAAAGAAGGCCATCTTTGTGAAAAGAAACCGTCCATCATTAAACAGGGGTGGAGGCCTCCGGGTTCAACTGTCCCCCTCTTACAATGCTGTGATTGCTAGTATCACTCAGCCCTCTGTGAACAGTAAACAGCCATCAGTGTGCTAATGATCCATTGTTAGGCTGATGGTCCTTCTTGAGCATGTGATCAGCTGGTTTTGGTTGTCAGCAGCAAAACTGGTTGATCCACTCTGAGAAGGTGCTATTTAAGAGACTGAGCTGAATACAGCTCCTCAGACTGAGGAAGTCTCTCGGACGAGAGACGAAACGTTTCTACATTTTTTGTTGTTTTGCTTTGTTTTGGGTTTTTTTGAATGTCCAGAGGACCAGATTTAACTTTTTTAGACTCCTGCTAACCTTTAGGTGCATAAAAGGCCTTGCACCCCCTTATCTCTCTGAGCTATTGGAACTATATTCTCTCTCCGCCCTGAGATCAGCCGATCAGCTGCTTCTGTTGTGACTTGTCGCTATATAAATAAACTGAATTAAATTGTTCCAAAAACAAGGTTACATGTTCTTGTTTTTATTTTCTACACTGCCTTACAGCCTAGCTGTTTTTTTGTTACATTTTTAATACCATTTTATTTTCACTTGTTAGTCTCAATGTGTGTGCATCCTTTATGATTGTCTATTGTTGTTTTTGTTGTCATCACTGTTAAAATCAGGTCTCTTTTGTAAATTGGGATTAACCTGTATAAATAAAGGTTGATGAAAAGGTGACTGATTGGGCTTTTTCAGTCATGGGCCCCAAAATTTGGAACAATCATGCCCCCCACAAAATTAGGCAGGTTACTTCTCTTCCTGTTTTTAAATCTCTGCTAAAAACACATGTTTTCTCTGACATTTCACAGTGTGAGTTGATTATTATGTTCTTCTTCTTTTTTTCTTTAATGCTTTTAATTTCCAGTACTATCATTATTTTTTCATTAATTTACTCTAATGTATGTTGTTATGAAGCACTTTGGCAACAGTTGCTGTTTTAAATGTGCTTTATAAATTAAGTTGACTTGACTGTCTATGGAGTTATCTACTGCTGTCATCATCCTTTGTTAAAATCAGGTCTCTCTTGTAAATGAGTCCTTGAGGCTCAATTAATTTAACCTGCATAAATAAAGGTTGAACAAAGAAAAAAAACTTTTCATGTTTGATTTTATAATCTGCAATGAGCACCTGTAAATAAGTTTTAAAACATGCATGTTTTTGGTCTGAATTTATACCAGATGTGATATAGTTGCAGTCATGTGTAAGTTTTATACAAACTTTTCATTTATTCTTTTTAGATTGTCTAAACTTTTAATAAATAAAAAAAACATATTCATGTATACAAATATCTTACTTAATGTATAATTGGTATCATACAAAATATGTAAACCTTTAAAAACAGCAGTTTTTACACCTTTGTAGTTCATTGGTGGAGTTAGCCTTCAATTCCCAAAAAGCATTTCGGCTATCACTGTTGCAGCGGGAAGTTCATCCAAACCTCCGTCTGTTATGAACGCTCCGATTTTCACCGCTTTACCTCCGGCTGAATTCGCCGGTGCGGACCAGCAGCAGGGGCCGGACCTGAGGGCGGGTAACAGAGCAGTCCTCGGTGGCCAGCTGAGGGAGGTCCAGGTCACCGGGGTGGCGGAGGTTTCGTGCCCGGCCGACCGAGCGTCGGTGCGGGTCAGTGTGAGCAGCACCAAGGAGTCCGTGAACGAGGCGACTGACAGCGTCACACGACGCCTCGATTACATTCTACAGGCTCTCAGGTAAAAAAAGGCCAGTTCACGAAATTTAGTCATGATTTAACTCCCAGTGTTTGCCACTTCAAATAACAATGGTGTGAATGAGTCAACTGCAACTTTTCTGTCCCTTATTATTATTAATATTATTATTTTTTATTTTATTTTATTAAATCTCACCAACCAGACCTGAGCTTACAAGTTGATAAACACGCAGGCACATCTGTGGGCAGCTTTTAGGTCCTTCGATTGAATAACTGTCATGACGGAAGACAAAGTGCACTGAAAGTGTAATGATGACTTGGGTCAAAGATGACAAATTTACTAAATTTACTGTTTGATGGCTATAAAGTAAGAAAAAAGTTGCAACACAAAGTTAAAATATATGGCGGTACAGCTGACAAGCACTTAATGAACGACTCTGACCCTATGAAGGTGTGAGGATTGGTGATCCAAAATCAATTGCTGTCCATTTCCTATCAGTATACTAAATGATCAGGTATTCAACATGAGGACATTCAGAGACTCTACTTCCTCAGGCGGCTGAGACGAGCTGGTCTGGGAAGCTCAGTCCTCACCTCCTTCTCCAGGTGTGCAGTGGAGAGCATCCTGTGCTCCAGCATCAACGTGTGGCATGGAGGCTGCACAGCAGCAGAAAGAAAAGCTTTGCAGAGAGTGGTGAAGGCTGCACAGAAATCTGTCGGAGTCAGTCTCCCCACCATCACAGACATCTACACCTCCAGATGCAGGAAGAGGGCCACCTGCATCATGAAGGATCCCACTCATGTTCAAGTATCTGTCATTCGCATCACGTAGTACATGAGGTGGAATGAAATTATGCACTCGGTCCCAGTTACACCCCAAAATAGAAAAAATATCAAGTATAAAAAGAAAAATAATATAAGGATCTAAGATATACACTAAACAAACAATAACGATAAAATATCTAAGATATATGCTACACTAATAATGTAAAACAATATGGTGTATATCAACAGCAGCCTGAACATGAGTCTGTGGTGGGCAGAGGGGTATGAATGAATCAAGGAGCATGAGATAATCAGCATCGCAGATAAGTCACTTTTTTTTCTTCTTTCCATACTGTTATAATTCTGGTTAGGGATTCATGAGTAACAGCTGCAGGGTAAAAGCTGTTCCTCAGTCTAGTGGTTCTACACTTAATACTCCTCAACCTCCTTCCTGAGAGGAGTGGGGCAAAAACTGTGTGCTGGGTGAGTGAGGTCCTTCATGATGCAGGTGGCCCTCTTCCTGCATCTATAGAGAGCACATCACGCCAGTTTTGGCCTCCTTGCACTGGCTACCCATTCACCTTCGGATCCAATTCAAAATTCTCATGTATGTTTTTAAATCACTGAACAGTTCCGCCCCATCCTATCTCACTGATCTTCTGCAGCCATATGTCCCACCGCGCTCTCTGAGGTCAGCAGACCTGATGCTTCTCTCAGTCCCAGAAACCCGTCGTAAGCTCAGAGGTGACAGGGCTTTCTCTGTTGCAGGTCCACGACTGTGGAATGAGTTGCCACTGAGTGTCCGGCAGGCTCCCACACTCTCAGTCTTTAAGTCTCGCTTGAAGACCCATTTCTATTCTCTTGCCTTTAGCATGGTGGGATTTGTTTGGTCCGGTCTGTACTCGACACTGTTGGCCATTTTAGTTAGCGTCTGCTGCTATTTGTATCTGTATTTTTACTTGATGTTTTCCTGTCCGCTGTGCATGTTTGTTTTCTTTTGTACAACACTTTGGTTGGCCTTGTTGCTGTTTTAAGTGCTCTATAAATAAATTGGTATGGTATGTCTGTGATGGTGGGGAGACTGACTCCAACAGACTTCTGTGCAGCCTCCATGCCACACGTTGATGCTGGAGCACAGGATGCTCTCCACTGCACACCTGTAGGAGGAGGTGAGGACTGAGCTTCCCAGACCAGCTCGTCTCAGCCGTCTGAGGAAGTAGAGTCTCTGGTGAGCTTTCTTGATCAGGCTGGTGGTGTGGTTGCTCCAGCTGAGGTTGTCATTCAGGTGCACACCCAAGTACTTGTAGCTGGAGACCACTTCCACCACAGATCTGCTTATGTTCAGGGGGGTGTAGGTGTGTTTGTTCCTTCTGAAGTCCACAATCATCTCCTTCATCTTCTTCACATTGATGTGAAGGTTATTCTCTTTGCACCAGCTCTCCAGGTGTTCCACCTTCTGTAGCTGGACTCATCATTGTTTGTGATGCATCCCACCACCGCTGTATCATCTGCAAACTTTACAATGTGACAGCCTGGATGGGTAGCTGCTCAATCATACGTGAGCAGAGTGAACATGAGAGGGCTCAACACACATCCCTGAGGGGAGCCAGTGTTGAGAGTTATAGTGGGGGAAGAGAAGTTGTGGGTCCTCACTGACTGTGGTCTGTTGGTTAAAAAGTCCAGGACCCAGTTGCAAATGGAGGGGCTTAGTCCTAGTGTGAATAGTTTGTCCATTAGGGTCTGGGGAAACATGAAGGCAGATGTGAAGTCCACCAAGAGCATACTGGGACCTTGTGTACACAATTATGTTCCACCTCATGTACTATATGTGATATGAATGACAATAAAGTCACTTTGAATCTTGAATTCACGAGCGAAGACCTCAAAGGATGCAAAGGTCTCCAAGCCTACAGATTGGTTTCTGGTTGGTGGCAGAACACAGCCAATAATCAGGTCACTGATGTGCTGGTGCGAATTTTCAGTCATCCAGAACATTGGGAAAAAAACAGCTAGATTTCTGTGTAGAACTGGACTGTAACTACAGAACAAAGGTCCTTTTTTTAAATTTATGAGTAAACTACTTATAAAATAAGCTTTATTCACAACAAACAGTTGCATCTAAAAAAATAGAATATCATGCAAAAGTTTTTTTTTTTTGTTCATTTCAGAAAGTGAAACTCATTCATTGCTCAGAGTGAAATATTTCAAGCCTGGTTAAATGCAGAGAACTAATTTCATCATTGCATGGGAACATGCAATGACAACACAACACTTACTAATCTTGTTACAGATGAATTAAGTTTTTGTCTGCACAACATATACAGTGAGGAAAATAAGTATTTGAACAACCTGCGACTTTGCAAGTTCTCCCACTTAGAAATCATGGAGGGGTCTGAAGTTTTCGTCTTAGGTGCATGTCCACTGTGAGAGACATAATCTAAAAACAAAAAAATTGGAAATCACAATGTATGATTTTTTTATAATTTATTTGTGTGTTACTGCTGTAAATAAGTATTTGAACACCTGTGAAAGTCAATGTTAATATTTGGTACAGTATCTTTGTTTGCAGTTCCAGAGGTCAAATGTTTCCTGTAGTGTTTCACCAGGTGTGCACTCACTGCAGCAGAGATTTTGTTCCATTCCTCCACACAGATCTTCTCTAGATCAGCCAGGTTTCTGGGCTGTCTCTGAGAAACACGGAGTTTGAGCTCCCTCCAAAGATTTTCTATAGGGTTTAGGTCTGGAGACTGGCTAGGCCACTCCAGAACCTTGATGTGCTTCTTACGGAGCCACTCCTTGGTTATCCTGGCTGTGTGCTTCGGGTCATTGTCATGTTGGAAGATCCAGCCATGACCCATCTTCAATGCTCTCACTGAGGGAAGGAGGTTGTTCCCCAGAATCTCACAATACATGGCCCCCGTCATCCTCTCCATAATACAGTGCAGTCGTCCTGTCCTATGTGCAGAAAAACACCCCAAAGCATGACGCTTCCACCCCCATGCTTCACAGTAGGGATGGTGTTTTTGGGATGGTACTCATCATTCATCGTCCTCCAAACACGGCGAGTGGAATTAAGACCAGAAAGTTCTATTTTGGTCTCATGTGACCACAGAACTTTCTCCCATGACTCCTCTGGATCATCCAAATGGTCATGGTCAAACTTCAGACGGGCCTGGACGTGTGCTGATTTAAGCAGGAGAACCTTCCGTGCCATGCATGATTTTAAACTACGTGTGTTACCCACAGTAACCATGGAAACAGTGGTGCCAGCTCTCTTCAGGTCATTGACCAGCTCCTCCCGTGTAGTTCTGGGCTGATTCCTCACCTTTCTTAGGTCGTTTTCACACCTGATAGTCCGGTAGACTCGGTTCGGTTCGGGGCCAATATTCATGAGCTTTTGTTTACATTTGAGCTGGTGCGTTTGCATTCACACTGCACTGTGCAGTCGAGTCAACCTGTTGAACCAACCTATTCCCCCGCTCACCTGTGGGGGCGCTGCACCAAGAACTACTGAAAGAAACGACACAAAAACCTCTGAAGACACTCTTCTTCTTCTTCTGTAAATAAAAATAAAAACGAAGTGGCATCAAGTTTTAGCAGTTTTAGGAGTTATATTTTGTCATTTTTCAAAAATGGACTTAGCATGAGCAGAAGATGAGACAGAAGACCATGGAGAATATTGTTTTTCACACAAGGCAGCTGACGGCTCCATATAAGGTCAGAGAAATGCGTGTTTGTTTACATTCACACTGTACTCGAACCGCGTTGGAGTTCTCTTCTACCGGACCGAGACCTAGGTTTTAGCCCGGGCCAGAGTTCGCCTTTTTGTTCCGTGACAGAGTTCGATGGCGCGTTCACACCTCCCTAAACGAACCGGATTTTCTAGGAAAATGAGCTAGAGTTCGATTAAAGCAGACTAAACAGGGCTAGTGTGAATGCACCCTTAGGATCATTGATACGCCACAAGGTGACGTCTTGCATGAAGCCCCAGTCCAAGGGAGATTGACAGTCATGTTTAGCTTCTTCCATTTTCTAATAATTGCTCCAACAGTTGATCTTTTTTCACCGAGCTGTTTGGCAATTGCCTCGTAGCTCTTTCCAGCCTTGTGGAGGTCTACGATTTTGTCTCTGGTGTCTTTGGACAGCTCTTCTTCTTCTTTGATTTTCTTGGCGGTTGGCAAACGGCTTGTTAGTGTGCATTATCGTCACCTTCTGAATTGGAGTGTGAACCAAAATTAAACCCTAACTTATATTCTCCTGAAAAGTTCTGATTTTATAAGAAAGTGAAAAAAGGCCCTATTTAAAATGTGATTTGAATTTAAGCGAAGCAACTCAACTAAATTAAATTGTACTTTTTGCTCATGAAATCGATTTTGAAGAATAACTCTCTCTATATTTTATACAATCTATGAGTACATGTTCTACCATCTCTTGTGATTGGTCACATTCACAAACTCCTGTAGGATGTTTTCATACTCTTTTTAGATTAGAATTTAAATATGTATGACCAAATCTAAGTCTTGATAAAATATCTTCTTCCCTCCTCCTCCTTGATGTTTCCCTCATCCTACCCACACTTTTTTCAATAGAATAAAAATGTCTCCCTTTCTGCTCCTTGTTCCATTCCTCCTGCCATTTCTTATTCATTTCTTCCTTTACAATAGATTTTATTTCTGATTTGCTGTACGAGACTGATAAGGAAATGTCTATGTTTTTAGTGGCTTCTTTAGCAAATTTATCTGCAAGTTCATTACCTAAAACCCCTATATGAGCCGGGACCCAAATTAATCTTACGAAAACTCCTGAACCTTTAATTCTATACAGTGTTTGTAAAATTTCTAATATAACATCATGCCTTGCTTTGGACAGCTCTTTGGTCTTAGCCATGTTAGTAGTTGGAGTCTTACTGATTGTGGGGGTGGACATGTGTCTTTATGCAGCTACCGACCTCAAACAGGTGCTTCTAATTTAAAATAATCAGTGGAGTGGAGGTGGACCAACTTATTTTCCTCACTGTAAATAGTTTTTGATTCTTCTCAGACAACATGGTGTGAAGGATGCAGACTCATCAGTGAGGAGGTTTCTACGTCGAGACGCTGACGTGTACATCATGGATGCAGAGGTAAATACACGGGTCATCAGTAACAGTGTTTCCCCTAGTTAACTTGCCATGGCGGGGTGCTCATCTCATCCGTGATTTTTGTTGATGGGGAGGGACGGAGACATGTCCGAGCGCAGCTTGTACCAAGAGTTTTTGAGTGGGGGCGGGGGCCATTCAGCATGAAGGAAGAGGCACCTTTTAGCTTTTTAGCTAGAGAGCCTGTATTTCGCGCCGCAGGTTCAAGTTTGATTTGGTAGGTGGGGTGCTCAGTTCTGTTGACAGGGTGGGGCACCCCACTTGTATAATGGTAGGAGAAACACTGAGTAATAAACGCCACATATATGGTAAGTTGGACGTGACAGTGTTGCCAGATGTCCCCACAGGTTGTGGTGACTTTCTCAGATTTTCAGAAGATGGAACAGATTTGTGGCGTCCTGCTTGAAAAGCTGGATAAGAGCGTCTGCGTGGGGGCACCTCGCTTCCACCACAGCCCCGGATGTTTGGATCAAACGAGGTATTTTAACGCTTGTTAGAAAGGTCCGAACAGAGGAATCTTTTGTGATTCGTGTGTTTGTGTTGCAGGCAGAGAGCGTGTGTATCAGCAGTCGAGAATGCTCAACAGAAGGCCACCAGAATCAGTCAGCTCCTGGGGGAACGCCTGGGATCTCCCCTGCTGGTCAGAGAGGAGGGAACCAAGGAGTGGAGGAATGATGATGATGATGAGGAGGATGGAGGCAGGGAGCAGAGGTCAGCTCCTCACTTTCCCCACATACCTAAAATCACCGTCTCTTCCCACGTCTCCGTCTCCTTCAGCTTCACAGACAAAAGCAGAAAACTCTGAAGACGCCATGAACAGCTTGAATTCTGTAAACCTTTTTATTCCAGTTATCACTTTAAAGCCAGGGCAGTTTAAAAAATGTTACTTCAAGCATTTTAGATCTTTAAAATTTTACATTATCTAAACAAATTCAAATTAAATACTGTATATGTGCACATTTTCAAGTGGGCTCCAGATCCAAGGGACATTTTAAAGCAAGGACCAACAAGGACAAACAAGGACCAACAAGGACCAACAAGGACCAACATGGACCAACAAGGACCAACATGGACAAACAAGGACCAACATGGACCAACAAGGACCAACATGGACCAACAAGGACCAACATGGGCACTTTGGACTTAATGATTGTTCGAGGGAAGCAGCGGTGCTGCAGAGTCCAGGCTGACGGACACCAAGCAGGGGAGGTCGTCCAGGTGTCTCAGCCTGAGCAGTCAAGCCTCCTCCTTCTCGTCCTCTGGGAAGAGCTCCCTGAGCCACGGCTTCATGACGAACCGGGTCCCGTCAAAATGAGTGAAGTAGTTCTCCAGGGTGGGAATGTCCGGCTGGAAACAACCGACCCAGTGAGTCCAGGATGTGCAGAGAACGTGAGGAGAAAGTGTGGTGTCTCTGGGGCTTACCTTGGTCCCAGTGATGCGCTCAAGCTGCGTTTGAGGCAAGTATGCAACCAGGAGAGAGGACGGTCCAGGTCCGCTGAACAGCACCTTGTAATGTGGCGTCTTCTCTGCCTTGGTGTCCTGCGTGTTGAGTTTCAGCAACACCGGGAGTTAGACTGTTCCAGAACCATGGGCCGGGCCATGCCAGAGGTGGAAGAATCAAAAGTGCTAACCTCAGAGTTGGAGAACATTCGGTCGACCCATTCAGGAGGAGCCCGCAGCTCGGCGTCCCAGCTCACCACCACCCCGATCATGTGACCCTTCCTCTCAAACACCACCTCCCCGACTCGCAAGAACACGTACGGGGGGCGAGGGCTGCGCACGCTCTTAGAGGCTGCAGGAACAAAGAGAACAACTCGTTTTAAACACACAAAAACTAAATCTCTGCTCCTTTTATCTTCGAGTTAGAAAATAAATACATTTTGATTGTTTTAGATTCTAGTGATCAAGTCACAAATGACTTATGGGATCAATTAAAAGGTAAATGGGAATTTATTATAAACTGTTCTATGATCTGAGCAACTTTAACTTTTTGTTTTTTGAAGCCCTGGAGTTGGAATGATCCGATCATTAGGAGAAATTCACATCATCTTATTCCACTAAAATTTGTTCAACTTCCTTATATCTCAACTAATTTGAACACGATTTGTATTCTTGTCTGAGCACATCACACCAGTTCTGTCCTCCCTACACTGGCTTCCTGTGAGAACTAGGATTGATTTCAAAATTCTCCTCCTGACCTTTAAGTGCCTAAATGGCCTCGCACCTATCTACCTCTCTGAGCTACTGGAACCATATGTTCCCTCTCGGGCTCTGAGATCATCCGATCAGCTGCTTTTGGTTGTTCCAAAAACACGACTGAAGCTCCGAGGAGATCGGGCGTTTTCAGTCATGGGTCCCAAACTGTGGAACAACCTACCCCCCAACATTAGGCGTGCCACCTCCCTTCCTATGTTCAAATCCCTGCTAAAAACATGTCTGTTCTCTCTGGCGTTTCATACTGTGTGAGTTGATTTAGTATATCTTGTTCCATGTCTTCGTTTTAATGCTGTTGTTTTAATTTTTTAAGGTATATTCTTACTGCTTTTTATTTCTTAGTGTTACCATTAGTGTTAAGCACTTTGATAACAGTCTATCTGTTTTAAATTGTGCTCTATAAATAAATATGACTTGACTTGTCCTTGTTGTTTTTAGCTGCATGTGTTGAACCTCATTTGCAAACGTTGTTTTTGTACCATTGCTACTCTGAGTGTTTTATCAATACCTGCTGACCAGGGCAGGAGTTTCAGATTTTAACAAAAGATAGTTTAGGTGAAAGAAATGTGTTTAAGGTCTGTTTAAAAAACATTTATAGTAGCTGAAACCTGACCGGCTTCCAGAATATCTCAAAACGTTCACGAGGACACTCAGTTTTCTGGTTTCGTTCTCACGCTGCTAATTTGAATGCATAACAAAACAAAACAAAAAAAGTCTCAAAAAAAGTCTCGAGTCTTTGCGGTGTCTGGACCTCATTTCTGTTTAGCTCCTCTGAAAGTGAAACAAACGAGACCTTTTGAGTTTGGGCAACTTATAAATCCAAATTATGACAAAAAATAAACCGATCAAAATGAGAATTAAAACTCCGTTACTAAAATGTAATGAATGAATTTGCAGGAATGTCTCAGTTTATTTATAACTACAAGTACATTTAGAATAATAAGTTATTTAAAAAGAAAAAAGTTTAAAATGAAAACGTGCATCGTATTTTTCACCCTATAAGTCCGTTTTTTGGCATAATTTACACGCCCTACAACTTGTACGCTGAAGCGATGTATTTATGGATTTTTTCCTATATTTAAACCAATTTTTGGCTGAGATATGACTGATTTCACTCATTCAGACTGAAAATAATGAACGCTACCATTTTCAGCTGCTAGATAGCAGCAGAGTAGTAAGGCATGTCGTATCATGTAATCGGTAAAAGTGGCTATTAATTAGGGATGGGGCCGTTCCAGTATCGGGCTCTGATACCAGCATAATATACGTATCAGATTTTTCCGATCCATGATGCATGTCTGCGTCTGCTGAAACGCCTCCACATGTGACTCCCTGCCAGCTGCTCAGCACGTTGGCTTCAAACCATGGAAAGTATTTCCTGAATG